AAATTTTATAGAATTATTTCAATTCCATAGTAACAGCTTTTTGCTCATTTGTCTTGAAAAGTGTTCCAGAACTTATTTCTCAGCAGTTTTTGAAAAAATAATATTCCTTGAATTACATTTTATGGGGATTATGTAATTGAAAACTGAAGTCACATTATTTTGACAAGTACTAATCTTCAGTGGCTGAGCGGCTGAAAGTTGAGCTCTATTTGCCAGTTGGATATTTTCCATAAGAAGAGAATATTCTAAAATGCTGCTGCTGCAGAGTTTTGACAAAATACATTTCAAAGAGCTTATAGAGTTTTCTGAAATCTTATAAAAATTTTTTTACAATCTCCCAAAGGCATACTGAAATAAATGACACGACCTTCTCCCAGAAGCTTTTTGAGACTAGTAGAACAAGGGACTGGTGAAGGGGTTGCCAGGATAATGTACAATCTTTCACTAAGTGGTCATGAAAAGTTTGCTTCTCATTTATCAGAAACTGAGGAGACGACCCCCAACGACTGAATAATAAATTCTTGTGCACCTCCAGTGTTTTCTCACTCTGGCAATCACGGGGCAGAAAGACAGATCAAATTATCATTAAACTATTTGGGGGACTTGAGGGACAGCTTCACGGGAAGGGATCCGCATTATTTTAGAGTGGGGGGTTGCTTTTGTTTTGAGGCCTCCCCCATGGCAGTGCTCAGGGGCTGCTCCTTGATCAGCGTTCTTTGGTCATTCCTTGCAGTGCTGGGTTGGGGGGGCGGGGCTGGGGTTGAACACAGGTCTCCTGCATTTAATGTTTTGCAGCCTTTTAAGCCTTCTTCCCCTCCGCTACTATTATCCTCCTCCTTTGAGGATGAAGAAACTGAGGCACCCAGAGGGAGGTGCAGGAGTTAGTATATGGCAGATAATGTTGCTCCCTCTGTCCGGAGAGGTGCTCATTCTCATCGGCGACCTGTAGTTGTGTTCAGTTAGGTGGTAAGAAGGAGCTGAGGGTGAAGAGAAATATTGTCCCTACCATAGGGACACTCTGTCCCCCAACTCTGGGGGTGGGGGGGCTGGAGCAATGGCCCGCCCTTAAAGAATACGGAGATGGAAAAGGAGTCAAGAAGAGAACAGTTGCCCGAAGCCTTGTCTGGCAGCCAAGGTGGGCAGCAGCCTCAGGAGCCAAACTGTCCCAGAGGGCACCTGGGGGCCCAGTCAGACCTCGAGGGCTTTTAGCCCAAAGCGTACCAGGAGAATAGAAGCGTGCAGGTTTATGACTGTTCTTTTGTTTTGTTTTTGCTTTTTTTGTATGGATGTTGGGGCCACATACAGGGTTTATTGCTGACTCTGGACTCCTGGTGGGGCACAGGGGGCCATACTGGGTGCTGGGGGTTGAACCAAGTCCTGCCACATGCAAGGCTAGTGCCCTACCCACTGTACCATCTCTCTGGTCCCCAGGTGTGCAGTTTTAATTCCCAAAGTTACAATAATTTCTTACGGCAGCAAACACACACACACACACACACACACACACACACACACACACACCCCAATATGGTTAGGAGGCAACGGAACTCATACAGGGACTCAGGTGAAGTTCTGATGCCAAAAGCTTCTTCACTACTGGGTACAGTTGTTTCCCCTGCAGCCTCCAACCCCCCACTGGGGGTGTGTTTTTTGGGGGGTGAGAGGAGTCACAGCTGGCGATGCTCAGGGGTTACTGCTGGCCCTGCACTCGGGAATTACTCGTTGCGGTGCTGGGGGGCCATTCAGGATGCCGGATGGAACCTGGGTGGGCCCCGTGCAGGGAGCTGGAGGTGGTGACAGAGGCAGACAGAGGTGGAAGGATAGAAGGAAGGTGAACTGCAAGGGGAGAGAGGGTGGCAAGATTGGGGGAGCAGGGGACCCGAGTGGGAGAGGGAGAAGGGAAGCTCTTGGGGGTCTTTCCAGGGGGTCATCAGCCAGTCGGACCACGCAGGAGCTGTGAAGCATGGACCAGGAGTCAGGACGGGGCCGGGCTGGTTCCGGGAACACCTCCACCCCCCACTTTCAGCCTCACCACTCCGGACCGGACGGGGCGAAACGCCCGGAGCTCTAGTGCACCAGGCCCTCCACCGGGGCGGTGCATGCCCAGCTCCCCGAGAGTGGACGCCAGGGCCCAGGACGGGAAGTCAGTGCCCTGCGGGTTTGCCTCTCTAAGAAGGCGCGGGAGCCTCGCCCACTGGCCGCGCTGCGGCGTGATGCTGACTGTGAGTGCAGCGCCCCCTGCCGGGCTCACTGAGATGACACCTCGCAGCTTCTACAAAAGGGCGATGTGGGGGCGCCCCCTAGCAAGTGCCCCCTCTCATCCCCGCGCGCGGCCCCCTCCCCCAGCCTTCCCTTCCCCTCCATGCCCAGGGGTCGAACCCAGGACCTTGCATATGTAAGCATGAGCTCCACCGAAGAGCCACATTCCTGGCCCCTCTAACTGATTCTTATTTTTTTGGTGGGGTGCACCATGAGTCACTGACAGTTTGAGTCACCAGTAGCTTCCCAGGCATCCTCTACAGCCCGGCCTCGCTCTCAGCACGGTGTTTCAGCAAAGCTCTCGTATCAATGCATGGACGAGGAGACATCTGATTTGTTAGTGGAAGTTGACATCGTCAGTGTATTCTATTGCAGTGGTGATGAAAAGGAAGCACCTATTGCCTGTAATTTGCACCTGTTTCACGAGAGCAACAATATTTTTACCAGTTGGCAATTAAGTGTCCAAAATACCATGGAATTGCAAAACATAAAAGATTCAGGAGCCAGGGTGCGGTCACATAGCAGAATATAATGCCTTGCATGCATATGGTGGGGGACTGGGTTTGAGTGGCAGGACCTGGTGGTCCCTTTTCATAGCCAGATATGGGCCCAACCCCAGAGCATGTGGCAGCAGCAACTTCCACAAACCCAGCTCTCTAGTTTAGCAAGATGCGATATTTTGAACACCCCCTATGGAAGTTTCCAGAAGTCCAAGGGATGCTTGTCATTTTTCTGATATTGTGGTGGGTGAATCGGGAGCAAGATGAGGAATGTATTATTTTTATTTTAAAATTTTGGGTTGGAGGCCATATCCAAAAATGCTCAGGGCTTACTCCTGGTTTTGTGCACAAGGATCATTCCTGGCAATGCTCAGAAAACCATATATAATGTTCGGGAGCAAACTGAGGCAGGACAAGCACCTTACGTGGACTATATTTCTGGTCCCAAGGCAAATGCCTTCACCTCTATACTATTTCTCTGACCCAAGATGAGGAATTTTAGTGAAACTTTGGCATCATCATGAATCACAGTTATAAAAAAAATAAATATTTCAGACGGGGAAAGTAGTGCAGGGTTACAGTGCAGAATCCTGACATTACAATGTATTACAAGCCCCCAGGGGATTACTCGGTGTACCTTTGGAGACCCCAAGTATTGCTGGGCCTGGGTCCCTAGGCTCCCTACCGCTGACTGGGCCTGGTTCACTGTAGCACCCACAGGGCTGGAGCACTGAATGCAACAAGGTGTGTCCCTCATGCCACTTGGGAGGACACCCCCCAAAAATTTCTCATTAGACAATACTCTCAGATAACCAGTATAATTCCAGAGATCAATTAGTTCCTTAAATAAAGGTAATCGAGCGGGCCCAGTAACGTCTCCATTGGAGACTTTGTTGTTACTGTGTCTGGCATATCGAATACTCTCGGTAGCTTGCCGGGCTCTCCGAGAGGGGCGGAGGAATCGAACTCGGGTCGGCCATGTTGGCCGCGTGTAAGGCGAACGCCCTACCCGCTGTGCTATCGCTCCAGCCCAGAACTGCCTCCTTTTTAAGGGCTGTGTACTACACCAGAGCGGCGTGTCTCAGTAACAGTGACCTGAGCTCATACTTAGGTGTTCTGCTTTCCCGGGGTGAAAAGGCAGATGACCAATATTTGTTTGTGCTGCTCTCTAACGCATCTTTGAAAGCATTGTGAAGGCGTCAGAGAGGGGGCATAGAGGTCCCCGAGGCTGGAGACAGAGAGGCAGCCAGTACTCACCTTTTTCCCACTGAAGTTTGGGGTGGGGGGGGCGTGCAGCTGGACTGGTGTTTAGGCAAAGACTCTGATGTCCCCTTCTAGGATCTAGTCATTGCATCTGGAAGTCATTGCATCTGGAGTCCTGGCTGTCTTGTGTGGTGTCACCAAGCCAATTTCTGTATTCAGGTGACTAAACGGGAAATCATTGCAGTCCCGTGGTGCCTCCACAGGAAGGTGAGAGCAGTGTGTTCTGACCCCAGCGCCTGGACACTTCACCCCTGATTCTGCAAAGGGGGAGCTCCTGCCTGACCAGCCGCAGCAGTGAGTTCCTTAAATATTGATGCAAAAAAATAACATTCAAGTTTTGGAGTCCAGGTCTACCCAGGTATGATTTTTTGGTTTGTTTGAACTAATTGACATGTTGTTTATTTACAAGGAGAGGAGACGGAACTAGGTGCTTTGCTCAATTTCACTGTAAATTAGGACCTCAGGTCCTAATACAAATGTGATCTGTATTTAATCTGTGCACCCTATTGCATCCGGTTACGACTTTTGCATCTCCTGAATATTTTGTATTTGTCTTTGGTGTGCTCAGAGGCTACACGTGGCTCTGTGCTCAGCGGGACACTCCCCGTAGTGCCAGGGACTTAACTGTCTTTTCTGCATGCGAGGCCAGCGCCAAAGGCGCTGAACTACCTTCCTGGCCTCTCTCTCCTGCCCCACACTTTATATTTTCACAATGGTCTTAGTCCATTGACTGTCGCGGTTGTGGCCTTGTTGGAAATGCCTAAGAACTGCGAGAGGAAAGCCTCTTTAAAAAAAAAAAAAAAAGTTAAACTGAGTTTTTTACATCGTGGGGTCGAGTTAGAGCGTCTCAACGCATGTGCAGAACTCCCGGGTGCGCGGCTCGGCCCGCGCGGGATTTGGTCCCTCCCGGCTTCCGTAGCGTCCCCCGTGACTTCCGCTCCGACGGGCCGCCCCGGCGGCCGCACTTCCGGCAGCAGTCGCGGGAGCAGCTGAGCAAGATGGTGAGTGACTCAGGGCTTCGTGCGGGGGTCGGCGCCGGGCGGGGGCTGGGCTGCCGCGGGCTCTCCCCGGGGGCGCCGCGGGCCGGGCGGGGTCGGGGGGCTCCGAGCGGGGCCCGGGCTCGTCCGCCGGGCGCGGCAAGTTCCCCGCGGGAGGGGGGCGGCCAAGGGCCCGGAGCGGGGTGCGGGGTCCCCGGGGCGCGGCACGGCCTCCCCTAGCAGGGCGAGGACGTGTGTGTGTGTGTGTGTGTGTGTGTGTGTGTGTGTGTGTGTACAGTGTGTGTATACCGTGTATGTGTACAATGTGTACAGTGTGTGTGTGCGCACAGTATGTGTGTGTACAGTGTATATGATTACGGGGGGTGTGTGTGTACAGTGTACATTGTGTGTGTACAGTCTGTGTAGTGTGTGCACAGTGTGTGTAGTGTATGTGTACGGTGTGTGTACACCATGTGGGTGATGTGTGTGTACAATGCGTACGGTGTGTGTACAATGTGTGTGTGCTCACGGTGTGTGTGTACAGTGTATGTGATTACGGTGTGTGTGTACAGTGTGTACATTGTATGTGTACGGTGTGTGTACACCGTGTGTGTAATGTGTGTGTACATTGTATGTGTACGGTGTGTGTACACCATGTGTGTAATGTGTGTGTACAGTGTGTTTGCAGTATGTGTGTACAATGTGTGTATGTATGGTGTGTGTGCTCACGGTGTGTGTGAACAGTGTGTGTATACAGTGTGTATGTGGTCACTGTGTGAGTGTACAGTGTATGTGATTACAGTGTGTGTGTACAGTGTGTACGGTTTGCTCACAGTGTGTACAGTGTGTGTACCGTGTGTGTACAGTGTATGTGTGTACAGTGTGCGTGTGTATACAGTGTGTGTATACAGTGTGTACGGTTTGTGTGCTCACAGTGTGTACAGTGTGTGTGCACAGTGTGTGTAGTGTATGTGTACAGTGTATACACCATGTGTAATGTGTGTGTACAATGTGCGTGGGATGTGTGTGCACAGTATGTGTGTGTGTGCATGTGTGCACCACTGTCCCCGAGGCCCCTTTCCGCACTGTTGGGATGGGGATGCTGACCCTGGGCCGGCCACCAGGACTGCCCAGGGAAGCGTGCATCAGGCCTAACTGGGACCCAACCCCCCCCCTCCCCCCGCCGGGCCATGTGTGTGTGGGGGGGGGGGGGGCTCAGGCTGACCCCCAGGCATAGGAGCGACCCTGGTGCCACTCTGGGCCACATTTCTTTGTTGCTCCTGACATTCCCTGCAGGGGACTCATGACCCCACCCTTTAGCAAATGGGAGAAACAGAGTCACAGAGTTACCAAAGGTGGCGGTGCCTGAAACCCGACTCTGTGCTAGCCCCCGCGGGGGGGGGGGCGGGGGGGGCGCGGATGTGGACCCCTGCCAGCACCATGAGTCCATAAGTATTAAACGTCGTCCTACTCTGAGATGCTTTTGCTCTGTGCCTGATGGTCTGTTGTTTGAGACTGAGAGATGCACAAAGTAGAGTGTTCCCTGCTCCCAGAAGAAGTTGGGGACCCACGCAGGCAAGCACCCTCCACTGAGGCCTGGTCTTCCCATCTCGGAAAAGGAAAATAATCGCCTGAAAAGGTTGGAGGCAGCCAGTTTAATAAGGGGCAGGGGTGCAGCATTGTCCAGTGTGTGACATGGAGCCGTGGACAGTTTTTGAAGAAGGAAGTTGGGAAGGTCACCTGCTGTCATTTGCTGGGATCATGGGGTGAAAGGGTGGGGTCTGAGTAAGACCTGGGTAAGGATTAAGAGGAGTGGGGCTCTTCTCTGCTCTGCGGGTGTCCAAAGGGGTCACAGGCCTTTTTTTGTGATAAGGAAGCACCCAGCGAGAACTACTGGACTCATTCAGAGCCCAGAACGTGTAAACGGGCTGCCCATTAACATCTTGACGCTGATATTTGTTATTTGTAAGCAATATTGTGTGGCCAGTAGTTCTTGTGAGTTAAAACCAGTAGTTCCTATAAGTTCCTGCAAAGTGACTTACATGCACACCTTTGTCTTCAGGAACAAGTAGGAACTTGTAACAGCCCTGCTGTGTAGAGTGGGACTCCAAGGCTCTAGGAGGTGACAGACCTCCCTGGGTGACAGAGCCCCTTTGACAGCCACTTCTACTGTGCTTCACGTTTGTGGCAGTTCCTTGCCTGGAAAATAGGAGCACTTAGAGAATTGTGTGGAGTTAATGGGACCGTCGAGGAACTGTTTAGTACAGCTCATAGCACCCCCAAATATTAGCTGCTCCAGACATCCAATTTCCCGCCTTCTTTCAGAGATGTAAGTAACCATCCACAGCCCTTGGAGAGTCTATTTCAGCGTGACATTCTGTTTCGCAGAGTTTCTTAGAGCTCTTACTTCATTCAAGAAAAGTACAAAGACTCCTGCTAGTGGAGAAATGTATTCGACCTCTGCTCTTGAGATACGTGAGCTTTCACTGGGGATCACAACCTGGTAATGCTCAGGGCTTACTCCTGCCTCTGTGTTCAGGGGTCACCTTTGGCAGTTCCCAGGTGACCCAGTATGCGGTGATGGGGATTGAAACCCAGTTGGGGCCAGAGCGATAGTACAGTGGGTAGTGCATTTGCCTTTCACAAGGCCGACTGGGTTTGATTTCTGACATCCCAGATAGTTCCTGAGCACCACCTGGAGTGATTTCTAAGTGCAGAGCTAGGAGTAGTAATCCCTGAGCATCTCCAGGTATGACCCAAAAAGCCAAAAAAAAAAAAAAAAAGTCAGCAGTCAGCAAGTACCTTACCTGCTGTCCTGACCCTCCAGTACTGGCAACATGATGTTTTAAATAAGATGTGCATGTGGAAATTATTGGAGGGGACTCAGACTGATCAGGTATCTCTGCCTCTTGTGTTTAAAATGCCCTCATATTTAGGGCTGGAGAAAAAGTACAGAGGATAGGATGCTTTCCTTGAACGCGGCTGCCTTGGGTTTGTTCCCCAGCATCCTATGTGGTCCCCCATGCACCACCAGGAGTAATTCCCAACCCTTGAGCCAAGCGTGACCCCGGATCACTGTGAGGAATGGCCCCCAAACAAATAAAATCCCCTCATTTCTGAGTTATTACTGTACTAAGCAGTACCCTCTAGTTAAAGAGTCTATTTCAAACTCAGAAATCCCAGTGAGTTCTTAATATTGCTTTTAAAAATTAAGGTGTAATTGGCATTATTAGTTGAAAATCCACAATGATTTGATAAATGTATGTATTGCAGATCGTGCAATACATAATACTAAGTCTAGTTTCCATCATTATCACACATACTTTAATTCTCCCCCCAGCCCCCCCCCCCCCCCCCAGTTTTTGGCCACACCCAGCAGTACTCAGGGCTTACTCCTGGCTCTGTGCTCAGGGATCACTCCTGGCAGGCTTGGGGGACCATTCGGGGTGCTGAGGATTGAACCTGGGTTATCCACACGTAAGGCAAGTGCCCTGCCTGTCTTACCCTTGCTCTGCCCCAATGTCTTGTCTTTTGCTGAAGAATTTGAAGCTCTCTTTCAGCAACTCCACACATGCAATATAATACTGCTCTCTGCAGTCGTCATGCTGTCCTTGGCTTACTTATCCCTGGGAGTTTTTCCCTTTTGACCATTTCCCCAGCTCCTGCGCTGCTCTGGCAGCCTCCAGACTGTTCTCTGTACCTATGAACTGTTTGGAGCCTTGTTCTGAAGAGACCACACGAAAGGAACCATAGTGATTTGTCTTTTCGGATTTACTTTACTAAGCGCCAGGCCCTGCAGGCCCCACCGTACTGTTGCAAGTGTCGGGAGTCCGATTTTCTCTGAAGGGATCTTTCAGCGTGTTCAAATGTGCCGTGTGTGGTCTTGGCAGCGTGGCTGCTTCCTCACCCAGCCCTCCGCCAGTGGACACATCCTGGGGTGTTGTCCACTGGACTACACATAGCTGGTAGTTGGTCTTGTTTCCTTCAAATTAGTCTCAAAGTGGATTCTTAACTTTCTGAGGAAACCTCCGAGCTGCTTTCCCTGACATTCGCAGCCCTTAGCGTTGCCATCTGCTCTGCGTGGCAGTTCCGTCTTCTCCGCATCCTGCAGCCACCGTTTTTTTCCTCCCTCTCCTTTTTTTTAAACTCCTTTTCCTTCCTGGCTTTTTATTTATTTATTTATTGGCTTTTTGGGTCACTCCCAGCGATACACAGGGGTTAATCCTGGCTCTGTGCGCAGAAATTACTCCTGGTGGTGCTCAGGGGACCATATGGGATGCTGGGAATTGAACCCAGGTCGACCATGTGCAAGGCAAACGCCCTACCCGCTGTGCTATTGCTCCAGCCCCTTCTTCTCTTTTTTGACTGTGGGTATCAGTGTGAGGTGATTCCTCATTGTGGTTATACTTTGCGAAAGTGCTTAAATTCCTAGTGCGATTCAGCTCCTCAAATCAGTTCCAGGAGTATACTATTCAATACATAGTATAGGGGTAAGGCACTTGCCTTGCACACGGCTGACCCCACGTTTGATCCCCGATCCCACATGCGGTCCTCTGAACACCACCAGAAGTAGTCCCTGAACACAGAACCAGGATTGAGCCCTTAGCATGACCAGTTGTGGCCTAGACCCCCCCCCCCCCCCCCCTTCAAATAAACAAGAACTGCCAGGACGCTTAGGCTTCGGTGATGCGAGGTGTATGATGCTGTTGAAGCAAGTTTTGGGATCCTAATAAGGAATAAGTTGTAAATGACAGTTGACTGTGTGAAATGATTTAACGTTTGTGGCCTAATTTCATCAAATACATTCTTGGTGTTCTTAGTGAAATAGTTGATATTAAAGGACATCAAACCCTGTACCTCCCTCAGAAGGGATGGGGTGGGTGTTGGGGGTATGGCTTATGGGGTGATGGGCCTGCTGGCCTTGCCAGGGTCAGGGCCAGGCCCTCCAGGGAGTGGGTCAAGGCCCATTCATCCGGGCATGTGCTCTCCCGCTGGGGCAACCCCCTGGCCCCCGCAAGGTGCCTCGAGTCCAGAAATGTTAAAGTGACGGGGAGTGTTGGTGTCACAGAATCACTGAGAAGTAAGGCTGTTGCTTTGGAGTGATAACTGAATTAATAGCTCTGATTTCTCTCTCAGGGTCAAAGCCAAAGTGGGGGACATGGTCCTGGAGGTGGCAAGAAGGATGACAAGGTAAATAAGCCCAATTGCACAGGAAGGACCTAGGAAGAGGCCTCAAGGGACAAGCAGAGGCCTGGCATGAGGGGGGCCCAGGTTCCATCCCCAGCACTGCACCATCCCCTGAACACTGTCAGAAATGGCGCCTAATACAAAATTAATTCTCTTAAAAGGCCAAATGTGTGATATGAGTAAATTATGAAAGGTGTGACAGTGCAATTCAGAAGTTCTGGGGATTCATCAGTTTTAAACTGAAAAATAAGTTCCCCTGAAATTAAGCCAGCGTAGCCTACAGTGACAGTAGCCTTTTTGTGTTCTGGAGTAAATTATTGATGTAGCTATCACATGGGTATTTATGAGTTAAGAAACTAATGCTTGTTGTAAATAGTAACATGATAGAAGTGTTAAATTGCCTGTAACTGTAGCATTTAATATCTTGAGCACTGAAGAGTTCTCACAGATGACCCAGTACCAGACTTTGAATATGTAACTTTGAATTCTGACCTCACTCCGTCTATGGAATAATCATTGTATATATTTTAAATCTTTAAAAAGTTATACTCACATAGTAATGTTATAGGAATGTAAAACCTGATTTTTTATAGAAGAAAATCTAGTTTTTTTATAGCATCTTAAAAGGGAAATTATTTCTCTTGAAAATAGTTGACTGTTCTACAGAAATAAGTTAGCACTTTAGTGGATTTTCATTTGATTGGTTCCCCCCCCACCCCCCCTGCTGTTCTGAAACCCCCTAGGACAAGAAGAAGAAGTACGAGCCTCCTGTACCAACTCGAGTGGGGAAAAAGAAGAAGAAAACAAAGGGACCAGATGCTGCCAGCAAACTGCCACTGGGTAGGGGCGGCTTCTCCTGGCACCGCCGCGCTGGGGACATGTCCGTGTGTAGTCTCGGTCTGGGCGCAGGGACAGGCCATAAGGAACGTGTGTAACTCTTGCTCTGTGACTTTCTTCCCTGACTTGTGAACCACGTCCTCTAGGTTGAATTTGTATGCTTCGACTCTGGACCGTATTTAATTATGTCTCAGCTTAAGAAAGTCCATTAAGGGGCCGGAGCGATAGCACAGCGGGTAGGGCATTTGCCTCCTTCACAGCCGACCTGGGTTCAATCCCCGGCATCCCATATGATCCCCCAAGCACTACCAGGAGTAATTCCTGAGTGCAGAGCCAGGAGTAACCCCTGAGCATGGCTGGGTGTGACCCAAAAAAGAAAAAAAAAGTCCATTAATTGCTTGTAAATACAGTGTATTAAAAATACATTATTAGCGGCTGGAGAAGTGGCCTTTTGCTTTGCATGCAGCTGACCTGGGTTCGATCCTCTGCACTCCTTAAAGTATCCCAAACATCGCCAGGCGTGATCCCTGAGCAAGGAGCCAGGAGCACAGCCGAGCGTGTCGCCCCAAAACCAAAATAAACAAAGGACAGTGTGAGATTTGAAAACTCCTTCAGCTTGAGCAACCTTGGAGCACATTCATTTCATGAGGAAATGGGATGCTCTTTTATCAGAACTTATATCAGGCCAAGTCTGAATGTCAAGTTCTGGCCTCCCTTTGAACACAGATTGAATGGAAGAAGGTCACCTGGGCCACCCCCCCTCCCCCACTTCTGGCCTCCGCCCGACTCCCCTCACGGTCACCCTCTGCCCTGCCTCAGTTTCTGGGTTCTTCTGAAAATGGGACGTGTGCCCATCACTTCCTTCCACCAACAAGACTCTCCATCCTCTGCTGCCCGCTTCTCCTCCTTCAGGCTCCCCGCCTCCAGACAGGCCCTGCTTGCTTCCATGGAAATACCACTTGGTTTGGAATGACCTGTTAAGGCCCTTTAACGGACTGTAGTGAATCTGTGTGCCCCTGATATAGATCAGACCATCAGACTGTGAGAAGAAAGTAGAAAGTCCAGAAACAGTCAAATCACTTGGACAGTTCATAGGAGGTGATACAGAGGCGTTTCCGTTACTTTGGGGGATAGGGAGTTGCTTACTACAAATGATCGGCATATTTTATTTGCTATCGAAAGAAATTTCGAATTAATCCACCCTCCCTTTGTGCCAGATGGATTACAGAAATACAAATCAAAATAGATGAGAAATCAGGGATATATTTATTTAACCATAGGGGAGAAGAGACCTTTGAATAAGTCAGGAGACATGGAAACCAGAAGTGATTGGCAGACCTGTCAAATAAATGTTAAGTTCTCAAGTAGTAGCATGAAACCTCTAATCAGAGGAAAGGAATGTGGGGGGGGGGGGAATGCATGCTCCAGTGTTAATAGTCGTAATGTCACAGTGTTACGACTGGATGAATAGTTAGTGGGTGTGATCTTGTATACTAAGTTGCAAGCGAATCTGTTTTATGAGCACCCGTGGAAGAGCACAAGCTGCCTTTTGTGTCACTCGCTGATTCTTCTGGCCATGGCCAGTTGGTTGGCGAGGGCCCTTTTGCTCATGAGCTTCATCTTCATTTTTGACGTGCTTCTCACTGTCCAAGTCCCTGGCCCCTTGGTAGTTAGTGTTCTCTTTCTTAAGGTCACCAGACTCTCGAGGGTTCAGTCTGTTCAGCTAAAGTAACGCGAGTGTTGAGTCTTGACTTTTTTTTATTCCTAAGAATGAATTCATCAGAACTTCAGAAATCAACTTTGTGTTTGAATTGCAGTGACCCCTCACACCCAGTGCCGGTTAAAGTTACTGAAGTTGGAGAGAATCAAAGACTACCTTCTCATGGAGGAAGAGTTCATTCGAAATCAGGAACAAATGAAACCTCTAGAAGAGAAACAGGAGGTAAACCGGGACGCCACACTAGTCCTGCCTTTCACAAATTAAACTCTCAGTGAGGAGGTGAAGCCTGTCGGTCGAACCTTTTCAGCTTATCCGAATCACGAGCTTCCTTTGAAAAGTGTCAGTTGTTCTGGCTTCTGGGGTGACTTCCAGGGGCAGCGCCTGACCTGCCCCTGGGCCCTGGGCATGACCCTACATGGCATGGTCCCTGAAGCACTACCAGACCCTGAATACTGACTGCCAGGGCCCTGTAGCCGGGGTGGCCGTGGAGCCTCTAGGCACCCCTTGGGGGGGGCCTCTACTTTAAAAAAGAAATCAGTAAACGCCGCTCCTCCAGGCCCATCAGATGGTCAGCTCCTGCATGGCTCTCACCTGCTTTTCTCTCGCTGCGGCCTTTCGTAGGAGGAGAGATCCAAGGTGGATGATCTGAGGGGGACCCCAATGTCCGTGGGGACCTTGGAGGAGATCATAGACGACAACCACGCCATCGTGTCCACATCTGTGGGCTCGGAACACTACGTCAGCATTCTCTCCTTCGTGGACAAGGACCTGCTGGAGCCCGGCTGCTCCGTCCTGCTCAACCACAAGGTCAGCGCGCCTCTGATTCCTCTGCCCCGGGCCCTCTCGCCCTGCCACACCCTCATGAGAGCTCCCTTTCTCCCGCCAGGTGCATGCCGTGATCGGGGTGCTGATGGATGACACGGACCCCCTGGTCACCGTGATGAAGGTGGAGAAGGCACCCCAGGAGACCTATGCCGATATTGGGGGCTTGGACAACCAGATCCAGGAAATTAAGGTCTGTCTGAGCCAGCAGGCGCTCCACGACACTTTGGCCTCCCCACTGCCAGCTCCCCTAGTGGGCTTGGCCTTGAGCCAGATACTGCGGGGGTGCTGCAGTGATCAGACCGATTCCTGCCTCCCTGCCTGTGTGTCATGGTACTTGTGTCTGTTAATCCCGCTGTGGAAAAGAAGCTACAAGCTGCATCACTGCAGCAGCTTCAGGGCAGCCAGAGGCAGTGCTCATTAACTGCTGCATGAACGGTGTTGGTTTGGGATTTTTTGGTGTCATTTAATGTCTTTTTTTTTTTCCCCAATTGAATCAGTGTGAGAGACACAGTTACAAAGTTGTTCATGACTGAGTTTCAGTTATATGATGGTCCAGCACCTGTCTGTCCCTTCACCAGTGTACATTTCCCGCTACCAATGTCCCCCGTTTCCGACCCCACCCATGCCCCAGCCCGCCTCTGTGGCAGACACTTTCCTTCTCTTTCTTCCCCCCACTTTTGCATTTCGGCACTGTAGTTTGTAGTAGTCGCTGAAAGGGTATCATGCATCTCACTTTCCCTCCTTTCAGCACTCAGTTCTGGTCCAGAGTGGTCATTTCCCACTGTCTTCGTCATAGGGGCCCTTCTCTGTCCTAACTCCCTCCCCTCACCCCTGTGAAAACCTTCCTACCATGGACCTGTCCTCCTGACCCTCATTTCTACTGTGTTTGGGTAGCAGCTGTATACTTTTTTTTTTGTCATATCCTGCAAATGAGTACCATCATTCCGTGTCTGTGCTTCTCCCTGTCTCATTTCACTCCCCGTGATCCTCTTGGTGACCGTGAATGGTTACTGTTGACTGACTATGATCACCTGGGAGAGCCCTGGGCCAGGTGGGCTGGGTGAGGGCGCTGGCGGCCCAGTGGTGCTCAGGACAGCTGCAGGCCTGCACTCAGGATTCCTGTACCTGTCAGACTCTATTCCGCTCTGTCACAGGTCCCTGCTGGGGTTGGAGCCATCATGCCCCTAAGTGGTCACTGCAGTCAGGAACTTTCCCGGTCGTGTCTGTAGTTGGACTGAAGTGCTTTAGGGCTTAAATGTCCCCCACGGCTGATGTCTCAGAGGAGTGAAAGGGGATGGGGTGTTAGGGAGCGGGGTGGGTGCTGGGGCCTTGCCTGGGACGGATATCCCAGGAGTCCTGCTGCTACGGAAGTGGCCACTGCTTTCTAACGCCAGGGTGTGGGGTCGGTCATCTTCCTATTCTAATGCCAGTCTGTTGTCCGTAGGAATCTGTGGAGCTTCCACTCACGCACCCCGAGTACTATGAAGAGATGGGCATCAAGCCCCCTAAGGGGGTGATTCTCTATGGCCCACCCGGCACAGGTACGGATGGTCTCTACTTGACATGCACAGGCCCTTTGCCCGTGGCTACTCGTGACTCCTGTCATGAGAGGGTGATGCTTTGTGTCTGGCATGCCCGATGCATTCTCTGGTACTCGAGTGGGAGATGGTCCCGGCTGGGCTGTGTAACGTCTCAGCAGCTCCTGGGACTCAGGAGGCAGACGCGTCCCTTCCCACTGATGGTCTCACTGGAGCTGTTTGCTTCTCTAGCCTGGTCTAGGTGGCTGACTTTTTAATATATGCGATTTTGAATAGCCCAGAATTTTTTTCAGATGTTATAGTGAATTTAGGAGAAAAGTTAAAATTTTAGCAAAATATTTTAGTAATTTGAAAAAAATTCTCTTACTGTGGAAAACCGAGTGTCCCGATACCGTAGAGCTCTGAGCCATGCAGGGCACGCCAGCCCTGCTGGGGACAGGGACCCTGGAGGTGTTGGCCTTGTCGCCACACAGGCCACTGTCCTTGGGGCTGCGTCCTGTGTCACGGCGGAGTTTTGAAGCTCAGACCCTTTTTTGCCTTTTTCTCTTTTTCATAGGTAAAACCTTACTAGCCAAAGCGGTAGCAAACCAGACGTCGGCCACTTTCCTGCGAGTGGTTGGCTCAGAGCTGATCCAGAAGTACCTGGGGGATGGGCCCAAGCTCGTGCGGGAGCTGTTCCGCGTCGCCGAAGAGCATGCGCCATCCATCGTGTTCATTGACGAGATTGATGCCATCGGGACAAAAAGGTAACCACGCCCCCACCCGCCTTGTGCTGGGTGAGGTGAGAACCACGAGGCTCCTCTCCCTGGTGGCCGGGTGGACGCGCTCCTGTGGAAGCCGTTTGCAGGTGTTTGGCCCTGCTCTACTGAGCGTCAGGGTGAGGCCCTGGGACTCCAACTGCCAATGCTTGGGCAGGCTCCGCGGGTGTCTGGCCCCGGCATCAGACACCCAGTGTGGGGACCCAGGGAGTGAACGTCTCTGCTGAGAGATGGGTGCTATGAGGCGTTTGGTATCTGCTGTGAGAGTAGCTTGGCCCAAGAGGGTCTGGGGAAGGAGGTTTGTATGCTAGAATCATGGGGGGAAGGCCATTTGGGTGGACACTGGGTGGAGGTGTCCCCAACACCTCACGTCTGACCATCAGTGGGAAGGGACGCGCCTGCCTCCTGAGCCCCAGGAGCTGCTGGGGGTGGGGGTGGTGTCTCAGGGAGATGTCAAGAGGAAGAGCACGTCTGGCATGTGTGAGGCCCCAAGTCTGATCCCCTCACAGCGGGGTGGGCCCGTTGCTGAGCACCTTGGGAGGAGCTCGGTGCAGGTGTCGGAGTGGCCCATGAGCAGCTCGGTTGTGTCTTCATTCCTGCGCCTCTTCCCTTCCAAAGATACGACTCCAACTCTGGAGGGGAGCGAGAAATCCAGAGAACCATGTTGGAGCTGCTGAACCAGCTGGACGGGTTTGACTCGCGGGGAGACGTGAAAGTCATCATGGCCACCAACCGGATAGAGACTCTGGACCCGGCGCTCATCAGGCCAGGTCAGGCAGGGAGATGCAGCACCGCCGCTTATCAAAGCAGAGACTAGTAAACCAGCAGTTTACCGACAGTCCCCGAGACTCCCGGGAAAGAGGAGGTGGTGATAGTTAGACCATTCTGTGGGGACCCCCTCTGCTTCCCATATCCCCTTTAATCTCAGGAGCACTGTCTTTAAAGATGCGTGTACGGTTGGGTCCCGGGTCGTGTTCCAGCCCTGAACAGCCCCAGAGATTTGGAACCGTTGAGAACTAGAGGGATGGCCTAGTGGGCTAGCACAAGAGCACTTGGCATCCAGGAGGCCTGTGTTTGATCCCTGACACCACGTGGTTCCTGAGCACTGAGCCAGGAGGAGCGCCTCAGTATCACCAGAGGTGACCCCCAAATTTAAAGACATTTAGTATGATTTTAAAAAATCAGTACAGAGCTAGAGGGATAGTACAGCAGGTGGGGTGCTTGCTTGGCATGCGGCCAACCCAGGTTTGGTCCCCCGTACCTCATATGGTCCTCTCAGCCTGCCAGGAGTGATTCCTGAGTGCAGAGCCAGGAGTTTACCCCTGAACATCACCGGGTGTAACCCCAAACCCTCCCCCCGTACAAAAAAAAATTAGGATCATTTTGGCTTGTCTTTTATGCTGGTAGCGCCTGAGGAAAGAGTCCACCAGTGTGTTTACTCCAAAATGTTTTTAATAGACTAAAGTATTGTATATGCCTTGGCTGCTCAGAAAATTTTCATTTATTTGGTCTTTCTAGAGCAGAGACTTCCCTTAAATGGGATGAATCCAAATGTAGCAATTTGGAAACTACCAGCACCAGTATTTCAGGCACGAGTGATCGCTGGGTTCCTGGAGTTTGCAGGAGGCCCAGGTTCAGTCCTTGGCTCCACACGGTTTCCCAAGCATCACGCCGAGAATAGCCCCTGAGTTGCCGTGGGGTGTCTCCCCCCCTACCCCAAGTGGTCATACGCTTCTTATTTGCTCAGTCTCCCGTGGGGCACCGCGGGAGCAGGCTGAGCCTCTGTGGGCCCCCAGGGGACTGAGCCTTGTGTGCCCGCAGGCCGCATTGACAGGAAGATTGAGTTCCCCCTGCCTGACGAGAAGACCAAGAAGCGCATCTTCCAGATCCACACGAGCAGGATGACGCTGGCTGACGACGTCACCCTGGATGACCTGATCATGGCCAAAGATGACCTCTCGGGGGCCGACATCAAGGTGAGGCCCATGTGCAGGGTGGCACTGCATGTGGCAAACACCACAAACCACCAGAGGCCACGGTCCACTCTAGCTGCTCCGTCCCGGATTGAGGACAGAGGGTCAGCTGGGCACCCCACCTTAGAGCTGTGGGCTGGGCACCCAGAGTGGCCCCCTGCCGTGCTTGCCCAGGGGCACGCGATCCCGTGCTGGAGTGGGACAGCAGGCGCGGGCCTTGCTCGGACACCTGCCCTTCCCACCAGCTTCTGACCCGGGCCTGAGGGTAGAGACCAGGCAGGAACGCTGCTGCTGGCCCAAGCCAGTGTCTGTCATGTTTCATGAGTTCTTTTGATTTGGCAAGGGAATAAATACTGACACACCTGTTCTCTTTAATCTGGCTAAGTGCCGTGAACTCTGGTGGCCCTGGGCACTGACTGACCTAAGGCCAAGCCCCCTTCTCAGCCTCTCCTCTGCATTGCTAAGTACCTCCCGAGAGTGACACAGCCAACCTGGGTTGGATCCCGGTACCACACAGGTTCCTCTGAGCCCTGAGCACAGTCGGGTGTGGCCCCCAAACCAACAAACCAAGAACAACTTAATGATCAATCGTCCCAGAGTTTAGTATGGCTGTCTTGGGTAATCTCTCAAAATAGTTCTCTCTGAATTGCTCGACTAAAACTCCAGAGTGTCTCACTCTGAACATACTGTTCTTTCTTACAGGCAATCTGTACAGAAGCTGGTCTGATGGCCTTGAGGGAACGGAGGATGAAAGTGACAAATGAAGATTTCAAAAAGTCGAAAGAAAATGTTCTTTATAAAAAGCAGGAAGGCACCCCAGAGGGGCTGTATCTCTAGTGAACCAGAATGGCCTCGAGCAGACAGGCTGATTCTCCCGCCTGGGGGCGGGGGTGGTGGGCGGGGACTGGGAGGTTGTCCAGGGGACTCCGTTAATTCTCTTGGTCTGTTAGTGAAACTCTCCATGTACCTTCCAAGCATGATTGCAGAGCCCTGTGGGTCTGGCTGCCCACCGGGCACGTGCAGTACTCTCAGAATAAAGTGTCTTTCTCAAACTCGTTGCCCGATTTTCACCCACACGCCCATGTGTAGGGCACTAGGGCCCCAGCCCCCTGGGGCAGGGACGTCTGGCTATGGCCAAAAAACATCTGGTGAGGACAATCTCAAGTCAAGTGCAGAATCTTAGCAGCCACCACACGGGACAGATACACATGTGTGTGCCTGTGGTCGACTGGCTGCTTCAAGGGGGCAGGGGCTGGAGTTCGAGTCCCTAACTGGCTTTTCTAGATTGCAGAGCCCTGTGGGTCTGGCTGCCCACCGGGCACGTGCAGTACTCTCAGAATAAAGTGTCTTTCTCAAACTCGTTGCCCGATTTTCACCCACACGCCCATGTGTAGGGCACTAGGGCCCCAGCCCCCTGGGGCAGGGACGTCTGGCTATGGCCAAAAAACACCTGGTGAGGACAATCTCAAGTCAAGTGCAGAATCTTAGCAGCCACCACACGGGACAGACACACGTGTGTGCCTGTGGTCGACTGGCTGCTTCAAGGGGGCAGGGGCTGGAGTTCGAGTCCCTAACTGGCTTTTCTAGATGGGGTGCCTGAGCGTGGGACCTCAGCCGTCCCAGAGGTGGTGGCACTCTTCCATTACTGTGGCCGTCACACCCAACAGTGCACAGGCTCTGTGATGCTGGGGTCAGCACAGCCCTCACGTGAGCCACGTCTGAATTAAGTCTGTGATGTTTCTTTTTCTCACCTAAGTCCCGTGTGGCCCTAACCTGTGATGGTCGGACAGACATGCACGCTTCTAGCTGCTGCCTGAGAACCCACAGCATAAACAGGGCTGTAAACATGCATGTCCCAAGAGTGTTCCACGTGTGGAGTACTAGGCTGGCAAGAAAGAGAACCTGAATGCCCCTGACAGGCCGGGTTTCCACCATGTCTCACGTGAGCCCCGCTGCTCGCCTCTGAAAACACGGACAGACCTGTGAGTGCCAGCCTGGTGTGTGTGTGGGGGGGAGGGGGGTGCGTGGTCTCGGTGGCGGGCCTGGAGGACAGGGACTTGGCAGGCACGGTGGGGTTGGTGTCCCGTGGCACCATTCTTGTCTGTACACAGATACACTTTCACATATACGATATGTAGAAGAGCTTGTGTGTCAGCCACACATTCACGAGACGTGTCAGTACGGAGCGGCCCATGGGCCACTAGTCCTCGAGTAGGAGCTCCAGTTCCTCCAGGGGCAGGCGCACCCGCAGCTCCTTCTCGGTCATCAGGTCCAGGATCTCCTGCAGCTCGTCGGGGAAGTACTCCACCGCGTCCATGTACAGCGCCTGCGCGGAGCCAGGCCTCAGCAGCCGGCACCAGCCCAGCGCTGAGTTTCTGGGCGGGAGGGAGGGGGGGCCTCCGCACCCGGGCAGGGGCTCCGCAGGGCAGGGCCTGTGGGACGCCGAGACGCCACGGACTTACCTTGGCCCAGGGGCAGTTCTGCAGGGCTTTGTAGAACACACCTTTGCTTCTCTCCTTATTCCCCAAGGAAACCTGAAGCAGGAAGAAGCACCGGGAGGATGAGGGGACGGGGAGGTGGCCCGAAAGCCAGCCCGGCACTGGGCAGCCGTCAGCAGTGTGAATGGGTGTCAGCAGTGCCCAGCAGTGCCCAGGAGCTGCGGTGGGCCGGGCTCCTGTTGGCTCCCACCATCCCCGCTCCCAGCCTCTCCCTGGAGTCCCCGGGGCCCACCCCCTCCGGCTCACTTTCAAGCACAACCGTCTCCCCAAAGACTGCCTCGTCTGGTCTAGGCTCACCCCTCCCCTCCAGGGCCACACTGCGGGCAGCCTGGTGGCCGGGGGCTCCTGTCCTCCCCCTTCAGGGAGCCTCAGAAACACTCAGTGTCCTCCCAGAACATGGACCCAGCTAAGACTTTCCTGCCTTAGGAAGGGAAGAAAGAAAACTGGACACGGGGCTGGAGCGAAAGTACAGAAGGGAGGGTATCTGCCTTTCAGGAGGCCGAACTGGGTTCGATTCCCGGCATCCCATATGGTTCCCCGAGCACCGCCAGGAGTAATTCCTGAGTGCATGAGCCAGGAGGAACCCATGAGCATCACAGGGTGGGACCCAAAAAGAAAAAAAAAAAAACAGACACAGGACTGTTGGGGCTGCGAAGGCGGCCAGGGCCTGGGGAAAGTGGTGCCGTTTTTGCCCAGCAGCGGAAGGTCCTGGGGATTCAGATGCCTCCAGGACTCCAACATGGCCGCGCCTGCCCCTCCTGAGGGCAAAGCCTCAAACGGGGAAAGGTACAGGCAGGAGTATCCCTCATCTCCTCAACCCGACTCCAGGAAAATCCCCACAGCCCTGCAAGCACCAGGGGGCACCCTTCAAGGAACCTGCAGAACTGGAAACCATGGGCGCCGGCAGGACTGGGCACCCCTGGGGAAGGATAGGACTGGACACCATAGGAGCATACAGGACTGGACTCTTGGGGTGAACAGGAGTGGACACCGCGGGGAGAGGGCAGGACTGGACACCATGGTGGGGGCGGGATGGGAGACCACTGGGTGGAGAGGACTGGGGGGGCGGGGAGAGGCAGGGCACGCCCCAAGGCTGCCCCCACTCCGGGCAATGGGGACTCGGGTCACACGCACACAAAAAGGATGGATGTGGTGCCCGAGCTGCCCCCTGACTCCTCCCAGGAAGTCCCGAGGGCCGGCCAGGTGCGGGGCCTTACCAGGAACTTCAGGTACATCCGCCAGAGCAGGGGGCACTGGGCGCCGGCCTCTGTCCGCACGGCGCTCTCGAACAGGCCCCGGATGCGGTGCACCAGGCCGCTCTCAGGGAGGGTGGCGTGCACCTCCCTGCCGTCCACCCTGCAAGAGGGACACGCGCACTAGCAAGGTGGTGCCATAGACCAGGGCTGGGGCATGTGTGTATAGCATCCGGGCTGGGGGCTCTCAGGAACCCCTCGCACCCCTGCTCGGATAGAAATTCTATCCCCTCTCCCCTTCCCTGCGAGGAGGGAGAATTGCACCCGCTGGGTCGGAAAAGCAAAAGCCTGGGGCTCGGGGGCACCATTCCGGGCCACACCGAAGATTCCAGAAGAAAACAGGGCGGCCCCAGCGCATGCGCCCAACTCCCTAGCCCCCGGTGACCCGCACAGGAAGACCCAGCTAGTGGCCCCTGGGGTCCAGAGGGGCCCTTCTGTCCATCCTGTGAGTTCCCACCCACTCCATCACGGCACCCGCGCAAGGCTGAGCAGAGCGCAGGGGGCGGGCGGGGGGATTCCAGGGATAACGACGCCAACGCGCCCCGGCCGGCAAGGACACAGCCGGACACGAGGTGGCCCTGCGGGGCCAAGTCCACGCCCTGCCAGCTGCTCCAGGCGGTCCAGCTCACAGGAGTGGCCGCAGGGGCTGCGCGTGCGCGAGTCCCACTGTGCCTGGCACAGGGCGCAGGAAGTAGGTCCCCGCAGATAGGGGCGCGGCGGGGCGGGCCTGCCTACCTCTGCACCATCTCCACCAGCCTCTTCCTCATCTGCTCGGCCTCGATGGCAAACAGCCAGGGCTCCAGGGCTTTGGTGGACCTGGTGACGGCGTCGAAGAACCTTCGCGTCCTGCTGGCGCTGTGGGTCTTGTTCTGCACCTGCACGAAGGCGCGCCAGAGGCCCTGGTTGTCCGGGTAGAGCCTCAGGGCCCCGGCCAGGGCTTCGCGCAGGGGCGCCAGCGGGTACACGCCCACCCGCATGTGGAAGCGAAGCAGGTTCGTGTGCAGCAGCGCCAGCGCCTCGAGGACGGGGCCGGGGCGCCCGGGGCTGGCCGCTTCCTCTGGGCCGCTGCCCGCGGTGGCCCCAGCGGCGGCCTCTAGCTGCGCCTTCACCTGGTCGTGGACCCGCACGGCCGCCTCGATGCCCACCGTCAGATACTGGAAGAGCATGAAGCAGCCGGCGACGCTGGCCAGGCGGCCCCGGATGGCGGCCTCCTCCGGCAGGCAGGCCTCCAGCGCGCGCTCGTACGCCTTGCGCGCCTTCAGGACGGGGACGGCGGAGGCCGGGCCGGGGGCGGGCGCGCCGGGCTCGCTCTCGGTCAGCCGGGTGAGGATGTGCACGGCGCGGGCCGCGGCCGGGCCTCGGGAGTCACCTGCCAGCTCCAGCTCCAGCTCCAGCTGCGCGTAGAGCAGGCCCAGCTCGCAGACGCCACCGTCCTGCAGGGCCCGGCCGCCCGCCGCGCCCAGCGCCGCCTCGAACACCTTGCGCGCGTCCTCCGTGTTCCCCAGCAGCCACTCCAGGTGCGCGTACAGCCGCCACAGGCAGAAGTTGTTGCGGTTCTCGGGCTCCTTGAGGAGACTCTTGGCTAGCTTCTTGCAGTTCTTCCCTCGGGACTTCAACCTCTTCTTGTTCTTCGTGTGCAGGCACCAGAGGACCTGGCGGGAGGAAGGACAGTGGGCGGGCGCTTGGCTCCGGCGCCAGCCCCGCCTGCGTCCCCGCACTGCAGGTCAGACGAGGGCAGGCATGCAGTGAGACTCGCGCTAACTGACGCTGGCACGTGTGAGATCAGACATGTACTTGTGAGATCAGACACCTGCTAACAGACACCAGCACACGTGAGACCAACCACCTGCTACCAGGCACCAGCACATGTGAGATCAGACACATGCTAACACACATCAGCACACGTGAGATCAGACACCAGCACATGTGACATCAGACACATGCTAACAGACTCCAGAACGTGTGATGACAGGCACATTCTAATACACACCAGCACACGTGAGACCAGACACCTGCTACCGAGCATCAGCACATGTGAGACCAGACATGCTAACACACGCCAGCACACAGGAGACCAAACACCTGCTACCAGGCACCAGCACATGTGAAACCAGACACATGCTAACACACACCAGCACACGTGAGACCAGACACATGCTAACACACGCCAGCACACAGGAGACCAGACACCTGCTACCAGGCACCAGCACGTGAGATCAGACACATGCTAACACACACCAGCACACGTGAGACCAGACACATGCTAACACACGCCAGCACACAGGAGACCAGACACCTGCTACCAGGCACCAGCACATGTGAAACCAGACACATGCTAACACACACCAGCACATGAGACCAGACACCAGCACATGTGACATCATCAGACACATGCTAACAGACTCCAGAACATGTGATGACAGGCACACGCTAACACACACCAGCACATGTGAAACCAGACATATGCTAACACACGCCAGCACACGGGAGACCAGACATGCTAACACATGCCAGCACACAGAAGACCAGACACCTGCGACCGGGCACCAGCACACGCAGGGGTCCCCTCAGCTGGACCCGGCGCCTCTGGGGACCCGAAGCCGCAGCCTGGCACCCCTCCGCCGCCCTCACCTTGGCCACCTCGTAGCGCAGCCAGGCGAGGCAGAGCTGAGCCCGCTCGGGGCCGGCGAAGAGCGGCAGCAGGAGGTGGAGCAGGTTGCGGATGAAGTCCTCGCCCTCCCGCCCGTGGCCCCGGGTCCCCCGCCGGCCGCCCAGCGGGTCGCTGCAGCCCACACAGCCCACGCCGGAGAAGGGCGGCTGGGGCGCCGTCAGCGGCTGCTCGTCAGAGAGGCTGCCGTCAAAGAGGTCGCCCTCGTCCAGCGCCAGGGACAGGCAGGTGGCGGGCGGGCGGGCGCCGCAGGGCACGCCCAGGAACTGCAGGAAGGCAGTGACCAGCTGGAAGCGCAGCTCGGGCCTGGTCAGGCGGATCAGAGACTGCCCGATGTCGTCGAACAGCACCTGCCACCGAGAGAGAGAGAGTGAGTGTGGTCGGGGCTGCCCTGCAAGGCCACTGGCACCCCCTGTACTGGGGGGTGGGGGCCGGGGGTCAGCGGCTGGGGTCAGGCGCTCTCCCTTGCCCACTGGACCCACCGGATCCAGGAACCTGGACCCAGAGCACGTGTGTGTGGCCACTGATCTGCTCCACCTGTGGCCAGTGCTGATGGGAAGGTGGACAGTGGCCACCACGTGTGCTCTCCCCGGAAAATGAGAATCACGCCCAGGAGATGCGGCTGGTGAGAAGGGAAGGGCGAGGAGAGTGGCCGTGTCCAGGGCAGTGGGCCCACGTGTGGGTGTTTGCAGCTGGTTCCTCCTGGCCCGCGGCGGGAGGAGACACAGTGGGGCCCATGGGGTCGCGAAAGCAGAGGCCAGGACTCCTGCCTCCGCCCACCCAAACCGCCCGCGGGCCCCAAACTGCTTCCTGGGGAGGGGGCGGCCAGAATGCTGAGACCCGAGGGGGCCTCCATGCGCCCCCTTCTCCAGAGCCAGCCCTCGCTGCCGTGCCCCAGGGGTTCCCGAGAGGGGAGGGGACGAGGATGGCTCCCGGGCACCCCGCAGTGCCCACTGCCGGGGAGAAGCTCAGCCGAGGCCGGGGACGGCACCCACGCACCTGCCTCTCGGGGTCCTCACAGTCGTCCTCGCTCTGCTTCTTGCTCTTCTCAGGCCGCCACGGGCGCCAGTGCTTCTGCTCCCGGGAGCGCTCGGCCGCCAGCCAGAGCTGCCAGCGGGGCAGGGTCCTGTCTCGGACCTCCGGGGCATCGTCGTCCACCTCGTCCTCCTCCTCATCTGCACAGGCAGGACATGGTCAGCTCGGCCAAGGGGCCGCACAGCCCGCACCGAGGCCAGGTAGGTTGGCTCTGTGGGGGCTCCCGGACCGGAGATGCAGGAACCCCGGGACCCCAACCCAGCCCCCAGGGGCCTGCGGACTCTGTGCAAGCCCCTGACTGTGCCGCTGGGCCCGCCAAGACAGGAAAGGAATATTCTAGAAGGCTCTGACCCAGAGCCCATTCTGCAGTGATGGGGAATGAGCCTGATCTGGAAGTCTAGTACAGGGGCCAGAGAGATAGTACAGTGGGTAGAGCACTTGCTTGCCTGGCATGCAACTGGCACGGGTTCGATCCCTAACACCCCATATGGTCCCCCCAACCCCCCAACCCCACCAGGAGTAGCCCCTAGGCACCACTGGGTGCAGCCCCAAAATTTGAAAACAATAATAAGAGACTTTATACAGTATTGGGGCTGGAGCGATAGCACAGCGGGGAGGGCGTTTGCCTTGCACATAGCCGACCCAGGTTCAATTCCCAGCATCCCATATGGTCCCCCGAGGACCGCCAGGAGTAATTCCTGAATGCAGAGCCAGGAGTGACCCCTGTGCATCGCTGGGTGACCCCCCCCCAAAAAAAACACTTTAGAGTACTCCTGAAAAAGTGAATGCTTTTCAAAGGCTCCGAGGGTCTGCACAGTGCTGAGAAAACTCCTGCCGATCCCCACATGCAGAGAGACAGCGCTGGGACAGGAACACATGAGGACACCTTCTCGGATGCCCCAGGAAGGAAAAGGGGCCAGCACTGGAGCCATAGCACAGTGCACAGTGAGTAGGGCGTTTGCCTTGCACGCGGCCAACCCAGGTTCGATTCCCAGCATCCTATATGGTCCCCGAGCACCGCCAGGAGTAACTCCTGAGTGCAGAGCCAGGAGTAACCCCTGTGCATTTCCAGGTGTGACTCAAAAAGCAAAAAATAAAAATAAAGACCATGGCCCCCCGGAGAGCATTTCTGGCGTCCCGATGCTTCTGGAAGATTCTTGCACTACAGATACAGCCACCTTACCTGGAGTGACGATGACCCAGCCGCCACGTTCCTGCTGGTGCATCCACGCCCGCCAGCCACGGGCGCCCTTCTCCCCGGCCCGGGGCTCGCCGCTGTCCCAGAAGGGCTCGAAGAACTCCACCTGCAGGCCCAGGATGGGAGGTTGGCCTGGAGGGCTTGGCCCGGGCACAAGGTTGGGGGAGGGGGGGAGCGAGCTGCCCCGCCCCGCCCGCCAGGGGCCTCTGGGGCAATCCTGCTGACCCCAGGCAGGAAGCAGATCTGCCCTGCCCTGAGGGTGGTTCTTTGATCGCAGAAAATGGAGGGTTGGGGGGGGCGGTCTGCCGGATAGATCCAACCAGACCAGGGGCACAGCCAGTCCCCCTGTGCCTCTGGGTCCCTGATACCCAAGTCCCGCTTCTCCTTGGACTGTGGGGTGGGTGGGGGGCACGGGGACCCCAAGCCAGGAATGCGCTGTGGCTATGGGCGGTGAGTGGGAGCTGGCACCCCCGCCAGGCTCGCCCGTGGGGCCCCAGCTCGCTGACGATGATCCGGCTCCTGGGGAAAGCAGGGGATGGTGGCCGTGAACAGGAAAGTGTCGTGTGACCAGGGGACACGAGGGGCTTTGGGGAGAGCCCGAAGCGCATCCAGTCCAGCGGAGCTGACAGGGCCCTTCCGGGAAGGCCTCCAGCCAGCATTCTGGGGACCAGGGAGGAGTGTCCCCACTTCACTGTCCACTCGCTCAGGGGAGGAGGAGAGCGCCTGATGGGGTGATGGGGGCCGGCACACGGGGGTCCCATCCCCAGGACTACTAGAGGTGACCCCACGACAACTACAACTACAAACAACACACCAGAAATGTCGGGCACTGTTAGACAGCCAGAACTTATGGGACCCTCACTCCCTCCCTCTCCCTTCCTCTCTCTCTCCTTCCCTCGCTCACTCTCCCTCCCCTCTCCCTCTCCTGTCTTTCCTCCTCACTCTTCCTCTCACCCTCCCTTTCCCTTTCCCTTTCTCCCTCCCTCTCCATTCCCCCTCTCCCCCCTTCACTCCCCCCTTCCTTGGACCGCCCTTACTGAAAGCAGCTTTACACGTTGTTGGTTAAGTTGTTGAGAGGGCAAGGGCTGTTGCTATTCAAAATCTCAAGTGAGCAGACCAGAGAGATGGTAGGGGGGGTTAGGGTGCTGCCCTCAATTTGAATAATCCTGGCATTGCTGGCATTGCATATGGTTTTGCCTCCCCCCCCCCCCCCCACACACACACACTTCAAGTCCCACCAGGAGTAAGCCCTGAACACTGCCCCGTGTGGTGAGCGCAGGCTTGGCACACGGGAGGCCGTCTGATCTGTGCCCGGGCACTGCAGGCTCAGCCCCTCAACAACGCTGCACGTGCCCAGGAGCACTGAGCCAGAAGCTAACAGCCTCTGGGCAGGCTGCATGTGGCACCCCTCCAAATTCATTAACTTAAGAATAAATCTCAGGGGCCAGAGAGATAGCAGGTAAGGTGCTTGCGTTGCATCTGGCCAACCTGGGCTCGATCCCTGGCATCCTGTACTATCCGCCAAGCACCTCCAAGAGTAATTCCTGAGTACAGAGCCAGGAGGAACCCCAGAGCACCATCAGGTGTGGCCCCCCAAACAAAACAAAATGAAAAAAGTAATAAAAAGTAAATTTTGGGACTGGAGAGATAGTCTGGCGGGTAGGCCGTACTTACACGCGGTCGGCCTGGGTTCCATTCCTGGTACCCCATATGGTTCCCTGAGCACCAGCAGGAGTAATTCCTGAGTGCATGAGCCAGGAGTAACCACTGAGCATCTCTGGGTGTGGCCCCAAAGCCAACAAATAAATAATAAAAACAAAAAGCATCTCGAGGGTGTGGAACGGGCAGGCCCTTGACCCTGAACATGGCAGTCAGAAAGTTCTGGATGAGCCTCAGTCCTGGCAGGGCCTCTGCCCACACGCACGGCCAGGAGAGACCTACGGCTCCAACCCTTCCGCATTCGCTGCCTGGAGACGGGGCCAAGAAGCACTTTTTCAGCACAGAAAATGCTCAGGACAGAGCACAGCATGCCTGTAAGCCATTCTGCCCATCTGACACATCAGACGAGAACGACGAGTTAAGGCACTGACCAATAATCCTCCACCCAGTTTTGTCTGAGGAGGAGAAGCCGCCTGGCCGCTCTCTCCTGTGGGCCCGCGATCCCGGGACATCCCACTAGGTGGCGACGGTGGCCCCTGAGTTCAGGAAAAGGGTTTCCTAGACAAGGGCTCTGGGGCAGGAGCCTGCGTTTGGCCAGCCCTGGCAGTCCCCTGTCACCTCACTGGGCAGCTGGGCCTGGGGACAGCGGGCCCCTTCCTTGGCCAATCCAGAAGATATGGGAGAGGGGGAAGGTTAAGGGGGGAGGGGATAGGGGTAAACGGGGGGTGGGGGGGAACGGGACCGGGGAAGGGAGCAGAGGGAGGGGAAAGGAGGGAGGGGTATGGCCGGGATGGGGCGTGTGTCTCAGCCAACCCCCTGATCCCAGGCACCCCTGAGTTCTGCAACACTGCTGGCTGGGTGTGACCCTGAAGGCTCTGCCACCACCAAGGTAGGTAGCCAAGTGACCCTTGCATCCCCTTATTCCAGGTTCGATCCCCAGCATCCCACGGGGTCCCTGAGCCCCGCCGGGAGTGATTCCTGAGTGCAGAGCCAGGAGTAACCCTGAGCATCACCAGGTGTGGCCCAAAGAGTGAAACAAAAACAAAACCAAAAAACCAACTACCCCCCCACCCCCACCCCAAATAGCAAGACCGCATCCTTGAGACTCCATCAAGCCTCTGCCTGGTTGACCAAGAACTGTGGGGAGTGGTCCCCCGGTCCTCCTGAGCAGCAGGAGGGAGACCCCCAGCCCCAAGACAGGCTCCCTTGAGCATCCTGGGGGAGAGCCCACATACACCGGGGATGCACTGGAAGGGGAGGCGGTAAGTCTGTCTTTCTATCCGAAGGGAAAATTCTCCTGCACTGTCCCGAGCTCCAGAATCCTGAAAGCCCCTCTCTGTCCCCCCCCGGAAGGACAAGGAGGAGGGAGGGAGAGCACAGCCAACGCACAGGCTCGTACCTGGCCCCGCGTGGGCAGCTCCTTCACGCTGTCGGGCTTGAAGAAGGTGAAGTCCACCATAGCCTGGAACAGGGACACAGCCTTCTCGGTGTGGCCAGCCTGGCGCAGGAAGTGGCACTGCTGAAGGAAGAGCCCTGGGGGTGGGGGGACAGGGAGCGAGGTCACCGGAGCCAGCGGGTCGCTCGTGCGCACACACACACACACACACACACACACACACGCGTGCGCGCGCGCGCGCGACTGCATGCACACACACACAGGTTCACAAGCCACTCATGTACACACACACACACACATTCACATACAGGTGCAGACTCACACAGCCACTCACACGCACACAGATGCAGTCACTCACGTGCACACATCCACACAGCTGCTCACACATTTGCACACACACACACACACACACACACACACACAAAATACACACATATTCTCTCTCACACACAAATGCAAATACACACACTTCAAAGGCTCACAGTGCTGTGCTCAGACGAGGAACCCCCTCCCCGCCCTGAGAATGAAATATTAGCAATAAAAATGAGATACAGGACACACAGGTGAGGTGAGGTGAGAGGCTGCTCTGAACACGGGTCCCCCAATATGCAAAACCAGCTGTCGGCAAAAACCTGGGGGGGGGGGGGGGGGAAGAAGGCTGCAGCGGGTTTTATCAGGACAGCAAAACGCTGCCAGAGGCGGCCACTAGGTGGCACTGTTCACCCGCAGTTTTCAGCCTTGGCGCAGCATCTTCTAGAAACACGGAGGCTGCAGGCCTGGAAGGTTCAGTTCACAGTACAATTCCATTTGCTAATGTGAAGCAACGGGGCATGTCACAAATCTCAAAAATGAGACCACGCCAGCGTGAAAAACGCTTCTGATTTCTAGAGCAGTTAATCTAAGTCCTTAGCAGATAAGAAAGGGTATCACAGCAGGATTGGGGATTTAAAAAAATAAAATGAAAGCCCGTCACGTGCTGGACGGTGAGAGCAGGACTCTGCTCATGGACCACCAGCCCGCAAGGAAGGCTTCTGGCCGCTGAGCTGCCCAGGGACACACGGGGCTCGAGCAGGCAGCGAGAGAGAACAGTGAAGGGCAAGCCCGGAGTCAGGGCCTGGCCAAGGGTCGGAGAGGGGCCTGGGGGGAGCAGGCCCAGGCAGGATGGGGCGGGGGGTGAGGGTGGAGGGCGAGTCCCTGAGGGGAGAGGGGAGCAGACCCTGGGCAGAACTGGGGGGGGGGGGCGGCGTCTGGGGGAACAGACCCTGGCAGGCCATGGTTGCCTGAGCACCCGGGGATGGTGGAGCTCAGACAACATTTTGTTCTTTTGCCCAAAATGACAAAATCAAACCAACTAAATCATACGCTACCTCCTCTATCTCATGACTGGAAACAGTCTACACCACTGGGGTGCAGCAGAGGCCCACACCCCAGATCTGTGGGGGGGGGGGAAGGCCTCCCCTATGCGGCACACGAGCACAAATACAAACACACACACACACGCATACACATGCACATGCACACACATGCACACACATGTGCACAACAGTGCACACATAGGCACGTGTACACACACATGTGCATAGCTGCACATATACACAGCAACACAGACATGCACAGGCACTCACAGACACACAGGCTCACACATGCACACACGTGTGCCCCTCATGCTACAGTGGTGGGAGGGTGGCCCGGGGCTGCCGCAGGAAGAGAAGGCCTGTGGTGAGGGACCCGAGCGGACCAGCGAGCGAGGAGGAAGGCAGGGGCCCTGGCGTCTCCCTGCTGCTCCCTCAGAACCGAGAGACCTCACCGGGACAGCAGCAGGGAGGGCACTTGCCTTGTCTGCCGACCCAGGTTCAATCCCCGCATCCCATATGGTCCCCACAGCACTGGGTGTGGCTCAAAAACCAAACAGCAGCCAAAAGAGGAAAAAAAAAAAAAACTACCCAGAAACACGAAGGCCTAACTAACGTTCAGGATGTAGGATGCTCAGTGGTACCCAAGTCTTCACTGCGCCTCCAGGAGTGGGCACACACCCCCCGCCGCCACCTCCTCCCTCACTCCCCACTGGCGGGGCTGGGCCAGGCGCCCCCTTACCAAACAGGGCGTCCTCGGTGCCGGGCAGCGCAGGGTGGGACAGGATGCTGCCGTCCTGCACGGCCGACAGCGTGCTCAGGCACTTGCCGTAGGCCCCCAGCAGCCTGGACACGGTGAAGGTGCTGAACTGGCCCTGGCAGAAGAGCAGGTACTTCTGCCAGAGGGCCGCGTCGTTGGGGTGCAGGAAGAGGAGCTTCTGCCACTCCTTGGCCAGGGCGCCCGGCTCCCAGAGCTCGGCGCACACGCGTAGGCGCGCCAGCTGCAACTCCACGCTGCCCTGGTTGCTGTCCAGCGCCCGCTCCAGGACGGCCAGCTTCTTCTCCAACACCAGCCGCAGCGACGCCCGCTGCCGGGGCTCCCCGTCCGCCTCCAGCGCGTACAGCCCAGGCCGCCGCATCGCCTCGTCCTGCACGGAGACCCCCGCTCAGCAGGGCGCTAGGACCCCCCAGCCCGGAGGCCCCCGCTCAGGACCCCAAGTCGGGAGACCCCGCTCAGCAGGGCGCGGGGATCCCCAGCCCGGAGACCCCCGTTCAGCAGGGCGCGGGGACCCCCCCGGCCCGGAGACTCCCGCTCAGCAGGGCGCAGAGACCCCCCAGCCCGGAGACCCCGGCTCAGCAAGGCGTGGGAACCCGCAGCCCAGAGACCCCCCCACCTCAGCAGGGCACGGGGAACCCCCATTCTGGAGACCCCAGCTCAGCAGGGCACGGGTACCCCCAGCCTGGAGACCCCAGCTCAGCAGACACGGGGAACCCCAGCCCAGGACGGGGATCATGCGCTCCGTGTCTGCGCCACCGCACCTGCGCTCGGTCCCTTCGTCACGGCAGGGCTGGCTTGGCCACGGAAAGGGCCACGCGCGGGCCACGCCACGGCCAGGGGCCGCGGGAGAGGTATCAGGAGGGCAGTGGGGCGCGGACCACCCCCCACCTGCGTCCTCTGGCACCGGGGTCCCTTCCTCCCCGCTCCTCTGTCCCGAGCTTGCCTTCTCTGGAAGACCACGCCCTCACGCCAGCCCCCAGTCCCGGGCCACGGCTGGGGTCACCCACATCCACGGGGCGGCCACGCTCACCTGGAAATCCACGAAGGCCATCCAGAGCTGGACATCGCGCGGGCTCTCCCGTAGCCTGCGGTTGAAGTCCTCCACCTTAGCCCTGAGTGCCGTGCTCTCGGGGTCTGCTGGGGCGTCGGGCACCGCCGGGGACTGCTCTGACGGGGCCCCCTGTCCCTGCAGCCACTGCGTGGTGGCTGGATCGTAGATCCCCAGCGGGTTCAACCAGGAGGTCACGGGTGGGGCCGCCTCCTCGGGGTCCGCCACGGGGATGAAGGCGGCGGGGGCCGCGGCGGGGGGCTCCGGGGCGCGGGGGCGCACGGCCACGCCGGCCGCGCTCAGCAGGCCCAAGCTCCTCCTGGCGAAGTACCTCTCGCCCTGCGCGTGAGCGGGCTTCTTCTGGCGGGGGGCCCCCTCCCAGGACACGCGCTGCTTCTTGGGGTTCAGGCCCAGGCACGAGTCGCCTTTCCTCTTGTACCTGCCATGACATAGGGCAACGGCTGAGTGACCCCCAACCCCATCTGGGGATAACTCAGTGATTCCTCCCCCCACCCCCCAGGGTCCGGAGAGATAAGGGGACAGTGGGACAGGGACGAAGAGGGAGATCGGGGCCTGTCCTCCGTGGCCCCACCATCACAGCAAGTCACAAGCAGTGCCAAACGCTCAAGGCCAGCCAGGAACCGCCCCTCTCCTGAACCCTAAACAACTGGGCTGAAGCCTTAGGGGACCCAAGGGGACACCAGCTGCACAATCTTAGCCTCTGCTCCCACTGGAAAGGTCACAGGAGGTCAAAGATGTTCTTTTCCTTTAAAAAAAAAATCCTGAAACAAAGCAGACCTCGTGGCATCAGCCTGGGCTGTTCCTACTCCAGAGGAAACAGGGTTCAGAGAGAAGGGGGCCTGCCGAGGTGAGGGGGACAGAGCTCTCTGCCCGTGGGCACCACATGGTCCCCCCATCCAGATCGAGACAGGAGGCCTGGCCAGAAACTGGACCAGAGATGCTGTGAATGGCCAAGGGGCACAGGAAAATGCGATCGACACCATGAATCATCAGAAAAAACGTCATCAATATCACTCATCACTAGGAAATCATGATCAACATCATTAATCACCGGGAAAACACAAATGTCACCCCAGAGCCATCAGAACCACTGGGAGGGCACCGCTGATGGCCAATGAGCACATGGGGGGGGGGGACAGTCACATGCTCCGGCGGGCAGGGACCACTTGAGCGGACGCTATGGGAAAAGCTCTGCCAGTGTCTAAAAACAGGACAAACCGACTAAACAGAGCCAGCCTCCGACCCGCGGGCTACTTCTAGGCATTTACTCAAGAAAAGGAAACTCATGTCTGCCTGCCAGACCCGGGTCTGAATGTTCTCCAAGCTGCCCGTGAGAGGCAGGTGCCACCCATGGGGGCCAGATGGGCAGATGAAGGGACAGTGGCACAAAGAGCGACCAGGAGTGATACCAGAGCAGAAAGCAAAGAGTGAGGCCTGAGCACAGAATGGGGAGTGACCTGAGCACAGAGCCAGAAGTGAGCCCTGAGCACAGAGCCCCGAGTGCTCTGAGCACAGGAGCCAGAGGAACTACGGGAAGCAGGGGGTTCTGTGAACCCCAGCTACGGTGTGAGCTCCAAGGCTGGGCTGCAGGCTGCAGTAACCTTTCTCTCTCTCTCTCTGCGTCTGCCTCGCACACAGACCTCTCCCAGGCCAAGCTGCCCAGACCCCAACCCACCATTTAGTAGTGGTTCTTTGAGCAAGTTCTTTAAAACCAAACAAAGCAAAAAAAAAAAAAAAAAAAAAAACACAAAACCACCAAAACTCAAAAAAAAAAAATCCCTGCCTGGACCTCAGCTCCTCATCTGTGGGATGGGGGCAAGAGCACCATCAGAATTCCAAGGAGATCAGGAAGGCTTACAGAGCGTCTTCACTGAAAAGAAAGGCTTATCTCTGCGGAACCTCTAGATAAGTTTAAAATCACTATCATTATTTTATCAGACTTGGCTCCTAAACCCCAGCCAGCTATTCCGTCTGGGGCGCAGCCAAGGAGACACACTGCACTCCAAAAATGGACAAAAGTCCGAGAGGGCTAACTGCACCGACAGCCGGGAGGAATTTTCCAAAGGTAACTGGGACTCTGGCGCCGGAACTCCAGGACCCGACCTCTCCCTGAGCTCATCCGGGCACCGGGCACAGGGCCGCTCTCTGCCATGCCCGCCTCGAGGACAGGCCGCCTCCCTGAGGGCAGAGCCTGCAGCCATGTCCCCACCCCCACCCCAGGGGTCTCCCTGCCCACAGCCTCCTGCCAAGGGGTAGAGTCGCCACTGGCCACCATGAGGCCAGTCACCACTGTGCCCATGGCATCTCCCTCTCTCCACCCTATAGGCCCCGAGGAACCGCCAGGCTCCTTCTCCCACCCCAGACCTGTGTGCAGTGACACCGTGCCACTTGTGTGTGATGTCAGAGGGGAAGGCAGTGACAGACAACGACCAGGTCCCAGAGAGGGAACCGGAAGCTCCCTGGGTCCCGTGACCAGCCTGTGGCCAAGCCAGAGAGAGCACTGGGCTGCACACCCCCGCCCCAACTACCCCCCACCCCCGTGTGGGCAGAGGTGGGTCCCACAAACAGGGGCCCACAGTCAGCCCTGCTGCTGTGGCCGCCCAGTCTGAGGGAGTCCCCGAGCACGGAGGGTGGCCCCCAGCGCTGAGAAGATGAGGGGACAGTTCTTCTCTTCTCACAGAGGAGCCGGTGGGCCAGGAAGGCAGGGCCGGGCTCCTGGGCGGGGGGGAGGGGGCACGCTTGGCACGCGTGAGGCCCTGGGTCTATCCCCAGCAGCGCCAGGTGGAAAGGTGGGAAGCAGGGGTTGGTGGGCACTGCTGCTCGCCGCCCTCCCGATGTCACTTCTTTGGCGCTGTGCTCAGGTGGCAGGGAAGGCCACAGGGCACTCTAAGGAGCATGAATTGATTCAGAGATAGGGTCAGAGCGATAGGACAGTGGGGAGGGCGTTTTCCTTTCAGGCAGCCGATACAGATTCGATCTCCGTCATCCCACAGGGTCCCCTGAGCACCGCCAGGAGTGATTCCTGAGTGCAGAGCCAGGAGTAAGCCCTGAGCAGCACCAGGTATGGCCCAAAAAGCAAATAAACAAATAAAAATTTAGAAATCTGCTGGAGCTATAGGACGGCAGGTTGGGTGTTTGTCTCGCATGTGGCCGGCCAGCCCAGGGTCAATTCCTGGTGCCGTGACTGGTCCCCTGAGCCCAGAGCCAGGAGTCAGCCTAGAACACTGCTGGGTGGGACTCCCAAAATAAAATACATCCAGGTGGGGGAGCACTTGCCTTGCAGGCACCACCCCAGGCCGGGTGTCACCCAGACCTGTGGGTTAGGCTTCCAGGGCCCACAACTAAATCACGAGGCTCCACTGAGCACAAGAACCAAGTGTGTGACCCCATCATTTCAACGGCAGACAATTAAAATCCAAAGCCAGATGAGGTTATGACAAACTGAAAAGCACTGCATCAGAGTCATGAGGGAGTTTTAGCCAGAACTGCATCTGCGGTGAGATGGGTCATGGTTCAAGTTTTCAGTTAGCACAGCTCTGAAAAGTGGAGAGCGTCTTAAGGAGCTATTTGTCTGTCAGGCTGCTAGTGAGGAACTGCAGAGAGGGCGGGAGGTCAGGTGTCTGCCTTCCAAGTCTGTGGCTGTGTGGCCGCTGCGATCCCCCCCATTCAAGTCTCCAGCACTGCACGTGGGGTCTCCTGAGCACCAGGTGTGGCCCCAATGATAATTAGGTCCCACTCATACCCTTCTACCCCAGGACTGCCAACCCGCCAAGGCCCGCATCCTGTTACTCCTGACAACTCCAGCGGCCGACGGCACTGAGAGCCTCACAGGCTTAAAGAGACCCACACAGGGGCCAGAGTCACAGGCGCTGGCCTTCACACGGCCCACCGAAGTTCAAGCCCCTGCACCCCACAGAGTCCCCCGAGCCTGGATCCTGGGGTTACCTGGCTTAGACCCAGGAGTGAGATCTCAGCACAGCCGGGTGTGGCCCCAAAACCAAAGAGAAAGGAACCCAAAATCGTTTTGATAGACGCGAGGACAGAGTTTAAAACTCACAGGCTGAAGTAAATACCATCCCGGCTTTTGTGATTAACCGTGATGGGCGCTGGCAACGCTCTGAAGGAGTCATTTGTCCTGTGAAGTCCTTCTCGCATGGCATTCGTGGGGTGGGCGGGGTGTGGGTAAATAAAAGGTTTCGTAACTTTCTTAAATGGCAGAGAGATGAATCCAAACGCTTTCCAGATAATGTGTCACGATTAATTACTGGGAGGTATTTTTAGAGTCACTCATTCAACAAGTAATTCACCGGACACTCCGGGGGCAGGCGCTGTGCCCGGCACCATGAATAAATAAAATGAATCCGACCTGGCCCCTCGGGCAAGGTGCGGCTTTCACTCTGACCGCGCCGTCAGACGTTGTTCTCCTCACTGACACCGAGAGAAGCCCAAGCCGGTAGCATGTGGGGGGGGCAGGGACAGAGGCGGGGCGGGAGGTAGGGTGGCATGCAGGGGGGGCCAGTGGTGGGAATGGGGGGTGGGTAGCACGTAGGGGTAGCTGTAGGGGGGTAGCATGTAGGGAGGACCAGGGATGGAACGGGGGGGTGGCATGCAGGAGGGTCAGGGGCGGGGGCCAGGGGTTCGGGAGGAGTGCGCCCCCTCCCCAGGAGCCCGCGACATACCTGGCTATGTCGCCGCGGTAGAGGGACTTGTACTCCCAGTTGGCGGGGTCTGGCCTCTTATCCGTGCGGAAGGTGTCCGAGGTCAGGGCCTGGGCGTCCTCCAGCCACACAAGGCGCCGCCCGGGGTCGGCCGAGGCTCCCTGGCTGCAGGAAAGGGACGATGCTCAGGAAGGCCCCGCGTGCGCGCATCTCCCGTTTTCAGAACCCCGGCAAGTTCCCCGCAACTCCCCTCTGCCAGAGGCCAGGGATGAGTGGGGCTCAAGGGGGCGGCAGCCGCTGCCGGAACCCGGGGAAGCCGGCAGAAATGAGCTGGACCCCGAGGGGCGTGGAGTTCGCTTAAATAAAGCCCGTCTCTGTCTGTGTTTGGTCAAAGCCTCTTACAAGCAAGCCGCTCTCGAAAGCTCCAGCACATCGGCTTGGCCTGGCAGAGGTACACGCCCACCCACAAAGGGGGTGCCCACACCCTCCCCGGCCCACCCAAGAGGGCCCGTCCTCTGAGCCCCAACCGGAAGGGTAGGGAGAAGACCCACGACCCCTGGCAGCTGCATGCTGGACCCCTGCTCCGTGCAGGTTTTGGGCCCCTGCCTGCGGGTCCCTCCTCCCGGGGCAGTGGGGACCTGCCGCAGGGTGAGGCTGTGCGTCCCCTGGCACCATTCTGGCCTCCTCGCCTCCCCGTACCAACGCAGCCACTTTCTGAGGAGCCGAGGGAGCGATTCTGGCATCTAACACCTTCCTCCCTCCGAAGGGAATCCCCTCCTAAAGCCCCAGCCCCAGAAGCTGCCAGAAACACCCCAAAGAGCCAGGTGCCGCTGCTCCAGCTTGGCTTATTTGGCTCAGCCCGGACAGAAGAAGATTCTGGAAGCTTCTAACTCATTCTTGGCTGAGACAAGGGAATGGCATTTCGGGAACCCAGAGCAGCTACTTAATAAATATTTGTTGAGTGATGCATCTCGGGGTCAGCTATATGGTGATCTTAACACGGATCAGAGGCACTGAGGAAAGCCACTTACGGTCCCTGTCAACAGGACACCATAAGGGGCAGCGGAGGGGCCAGAAGACTTTGCCGTGTCCCCTGAGAGTGCGGGGGGAGGGGCACCGGCCCGCTGCAGGGGAGGGGGGGTGGCATGTGAGTCCTGCTCCCCCCTGCAGTGAGGGAAGAAAGCAAGCAAGGAAGGAGAAGGGGAGCTCTCCCGGGGGGGTGGGGGGAATGGCCAATCAAAAGTTGCAGCCCTGGGGAATCGGTCCCTCAATCACCCCAAAAGAGCATCTAATAAGGTGACCGGCCCTTATGAAGCCACTATCCTGACATGATGGAAAGACTCTTCAAACTTACTAGAATCCTGGTCCCTGTCCCCGTGGGAACCCGCCTTTGTGGTCTAGAGAAGAAGAGGAAGCAGGAGGGGAGGACAAGACCAGCCAGGGCTGAGTCTGCAAAACACCAGACTGGGAACTGCATCTTGTGTCCGCAGAATGTCACAGAACCATCGTCTGATGCGGTGACACACAGGAAGTCACGACCCTTCAGGTTCCAGGAGCAGATGCGCACTGGCCTGGGGACAGCCTCTGAGCCTCGGCCTCTTCGAGGGAAGAGGAAGAGCTGTGGGGGTAGCGGCTGGCTTGCCCTGAAGGCAGACTAGGAAAGCTCAACACAGTTCTCGCGGCCTCTCAGAAACACGAATGGCCCGGGTGGCTATGAGGCACCCAGCCAGGCACCCTCGCTCCCATGGATGCCAGGGCCAGCACAACACCTGTGCGGGCTGCGTGAGACCCTGTGCTCTGCCCCTCTCCGGTCTCCCCCCAGAGTGCACCTGAGCTGGCGGGACCACCTGAGACACGTCGAGCCCCAGAAGCCGCCAGGAGGTTTCCCGACACTTCTGATGACATGGGGCCCCGGGAGGATGGTGGTGCTCAGCCCGGATGGAAACTCTGAGGGCAAGACTCCAGCCCAGCTCCCAGGGCTGCTCCGGCTGACGTCAGGGGACTCCCGACACACAGAAGCCCCAAAGAACTCCCGGATCTTATGACCTTTTTTTTTTTCCCAAGTATGCCCTAAACGGGTACGCAGGTCACCCTCCTGTGCACAGGCACAGGAAATGGAAGGGAACTGAGAAAGCCCTCGGGAAGGCCCACTGCCCCAGCCCACCTTCAGGCAAAAGCCATCACGCTGGGCTGGCGGAGGGCAAAAAGCCAGCATTGGGGGTCTCTGCTCAGAGCCCTCGGCAAAATGGGCCTCGCTCGAGGGCACCAGCCGAGTGAAGATGGGGACAAAGAGCAGGCCCCATGGAGAGGACCCTGTGACTGTGACTGAGCCGAACCTTCCACTCATGGTTCCGAACAGATGTGAGCTGCAGAAGAGAAGCTGCTGCCAGAGGAACAGGCTGACATAACCAACCCCACCACACACACACACACACACACACACACACACACACACGGACACGGACACGGACACACACATGGACACACGCATGCAAGTGCAAACAGACACACACATGGACACACTCATGCAAATGCAAACACAAACATGGACACATGATACAAGTGCAAACAGGCACACACACACACAGACACACATGGACACACTCATGCAAGAGCAAACACACACACAGACACATGCATGCAAGCACAGACACATACACAGAGACACACACATGCAGACACACACACAGACAAACGCATGCATGTGCAAATAGGCACACACAGACACACGGACACACATAAGGACACACACACGGACACATGCATGTGCAAATAGGCACACAGACACACACACGAACACACACACGCATGTGCCAAGAGACACACACACAGACACATGCACGCACCTGCACACAGACACCTATAGACATGCATACACACATGCACACACACGCACACACAGACACGCACAGACAAGCGCACCCATGACCCCGCTGACAGGCTGATGGCAGTGAGTGATGCTGGGAGGGCAGTCTTTGGACCTGAGTGTGTGTGCACCCTTCAGTCTCACCTTCTAGAATGAAACCTTGGTCCTAAGTGATGTCTTAGGAGACCGTTCCTTTCCTTTCTGTGACCAAATAAAAAAAAATCTCTTCTATTCCCCACCCCCAACCCCAGCTCTGAGCACTCATTAGCACCGCTGGGTCGAAAGCCTTGAGTCATTCCAACGCCTAACAGGTGGCGACCACTGAGAGACTCACGATTCCAAACCAAGGTGTGGGGGGTGGGGGCGGGGCCGGGGGAGGTGCCCCGGAGGAGACAGAGACGGGAGAGGGCCGGGGACCTGCCTGGGCTTCCCGGAGTCGCTGGGGGGCTCCGAGTCGCTGCTGCTGCTGCTGCTGGCCGAGCGCCTGCTGCGGGCTCTCTTGTGGTGCTGGCGCTGCTTCTTCCGCTTCTTCTCTTTCTTCTTCTTTCTGCTGGTCTGTTTGCGCTTTCTGTCAGCGTCACTGTCACCTGAGGACTCGGACTTCACGGGACTTCTGCTTGGGGACAAAGAATCAACCTTAAGAATTTACCTTCAATTAAAGAAACTTTGGCACACCTACACAATGGAATACTATGCAGCTGTTCAGAAGAGATGAAGTCATAAAGTCTGTTTATTAGTGGATGGACATGAAGAGTATCATGCTGAGTGAAATGAGACAGAAAGAGAGGGACAGACATAGAAGGACTGCACTCATTTGTGGAATATAAAATATCATCATGTGAGACTGACACCCAAGGACAGTAGACACAAGGGCCAGGAAGACTGCTCCATGGTTGGAAGCCCCATAAGCAGGGGGAGAAGGCAGCTGGGATAGAGAAGGGATCACTAAGACAGTGATGGTTGGAGGGATTGCTCTGGATGGGAGATGTGTGCTGAAAATAGATAAAGGACCAGATGTGATAGTCTCTCAGTATCTGTATTGCAAACCATAATGCCTAAAAGTAGAGAGAGAGTATGGGGGAAATTCACTGCCATGGAGGCAGGGGGAAGGGTGGAAGAGGGTGGGGGGTATACTGGGGACATTGGTGGTGGAGAATGTGCACTGGAGGAGGGATGGGTGTTTGATTATTGTACTGAAACTCAAACATGAAAGTTTTATAACTGTATCTCACAGTGATTCAAGAAAGAAAAAAGAAAGAAAACCTTGAGCTTTAGATTAAAAAAAACAAAAAAAGAAGAATTACTTTCAAGTAGGGAAAACAGCCTGTGAAGAAGCGGCGGGCAGACAGAAGGGCACTTGTCAGGGCCCACACACACCACCCGATCCTGGATTTTATCTGCAAAGCCTCCCTGGGTTTTAATGTCTCCTCACTAAAGACTTAAAGAGTCGGGGCCTGATGGGGCCAAAGCCAGAGTGTTCAGAGTGTCAGCCTGGCACGTGGCCGACCCGGGGGTCAATCTCTGGCATCCCATATGGTTTCCTGAATCCTGCCAAGAGTGATGTCTGAGTACAGAGCCAGGAGTAACACCCTGAGCATCGCTGGGTGTGGCCCAAAAACAAAAAGAAAAAAGAAAGAAGAAAAAAAAGACATGTCCCAGAGATAAGCCGTTCACACTCTTTGACTCTGGGTCAACCCCGGTAGCACATATGGTCCCAAACACCACTGGATGTGGCCCCCCCCAACAAAAAATAAAGAAAAAAAGTTCTGATTTTGATAGCTATTCTTTCTTACCAAACACTGTGAGGGGAGAGGGGGGGTAGACTCAGAAATGCTCAGGGTCCTTCTGTGGATCTGTGCTTAGGAGTGATCCCTGGAAGTGCTCGAGAGAATCTGCTGATTGTTTTACCATATATATATTTACAGCAACAGTATAAAAGGATTATTTTCAATGTATTATACCAGTATTCCTTATTGCACCTGGAGCGACAGCACAGCGGTAGGGCGTCTGCCTTGCACACAGCCAGCCAGGCTAACCCGGGTTCGATTCCTCCGCCCCTCTTGGAGAGCCCGGCAAGCTACTGAGAGTATCTCGCCCGCACGGCAAAGCCTGGCAAGCTCCCCGGGATGTATTCAATATGCCAAACACAGTAATAACAAGTCTCAAAATGGAGACGTTACTGGGTCCGCTTGAGCAAAATCAATGAACAACGGGAGGACAGGGTTTTTGACAGTGCTTGTCCTTATTGCAAAAAAAAAAAAAAAAGTTTGAGGGTTTTTTTTTTGTTATTGTTATTGTTGTTGTTGTTGTTGTTTTGAGGGGGGACGGGATACTGGGCGGTTTGGGGGCGTACCTGCTACAACTCAGGGACTCCCACCGCTGCAGTGCTGGGGTCTCTCCTGGCGGTGCTCAGGAGCCATGTGGAGCTGGGGGTGGAACCTGGTGCTCCCACATGCAGAGCAGACCTGCTGCTGAGCCACCCTCTGCCCCCCCCACCCCAACTTTAACAGGTACAAGAAGCGAATCCTCATCAGTCAAGGATCCGCCCACAACTCCCCTCCTGCATCGAGGACTCTCCATTTCCAGAGGCGTCTTCAGATTCTCGAGGACGTGGCCTCCCAGAACCCATCACACTCAAGAGACCATCTCTCGGATTTGGGAGAGCTCATTCCTCAAGTCAGTGACGTGTGGCAAAGTTCTTGTGAAACTGGGTGTGGGGGGGGGGGTACCATCTTGCTCTCCCCGAAAGTGCTCGTGAAATCTCAGTCTGTCATGTTCTATGGGCTCCTTCTCTTCTCACAAAAGTTGCGGGAGGCAGCTACAGAAACTGCCCCGCACTGCCAGATTCTGAAGGCCACTCAGGAGGCCGGTGAAGTCACAGAAGCAGAGTGACGCCATTCCCCTGGTGGCCTAATTACTGGCAGTAAACGTTGTCGCACACTTGCCACGGCCATGCAAAGGGGGAAAGAACGAAAGCAGCCCTTGGAATGAGGTAGCGAGCGATCGCCTCATTAAATCCAGGGGAGTTTAATTTAGTTCTTCCAGCACGGGGTGTTCTTAGGAGCATCCATTGAACAAGCGATAAACAGGACACTGAACAAAGACCACAAATCCAACTTGAAAAACTACCTTGTCGGCGGCGAGCGGTCGGAGGCGGTGGCTGTGGTGTCCTCGGCTGGCTGGCCCGGGGACGCGGCTCTTCCGACACAGAAGCTGGGGTTGCTCAGCCAGTCCAGCTCTGCACAGAGGGGAGAGAGATCAGTGAGGCCGCGCAGCACGCTTTCTCAAGCAGAAAATCCTTCTCGTGGGCCAACGAAGGCACTCGCCAGCCGGGGCCGGCCCGAGGCTCCCAGGAGCCCACAGAACCAAAAGGAATCCGTGAAAACTTTATTTCATGGGCCTGGGCTTTAACACGCTCTACGACACTTCAGACCGAAATCCTTTTTTTCTTGCTACCAGGCTGTGGCTCAAGCAGCTGGTAACTAGCGTGGTCTAAAAGACCACAGACGACAGGTTAACAAGCGTGGCCGTGATTGGAAGGACCATCTGGACTCCAAGTTCCACCCACACCCCCGCCGACGAGCACGAGCAAAGTGTTTCCAAAGCATCAGGCTTCGGTGACCTCCAATTTAAACAATTCCAAATAGTTAAAATGCTAAGCCATACATAAAAGTTTACCATGTTTAATTTTTTTTTCTTTTCGCTTTTTGGGTCACACCCGTGCAGGAGCGATAGCACAGCGGATAGGGCGTTTGCCTTGCACAAGGCCGACCTGGCCAACCTGATTCAATTCCTCCACCTTCGATTCCTCCACCCCTCTTGGAGAGCCCGGCAAGCTACCGAGAGTATCTCGCCCGCACGGCAAAGCCTGTGCCGTATTCGATATGCCAAACACAGTAATAAGTCTCACAATGTTACCGGGCCCGTTCGAGCAAATCGATGAACAACGGAAGGACAGTGACAGTGACCCGGCGATGCACAGGGGTTACTCCTGGCTTTACGCTCAGGAATTTGTCCTGAGGGTGCATAGGAGACCTTATAGGATGGTGGGAATGGAACCCGGGTCGGCCACGTGCAAGGCAAACGCTCTACCCGCTGTTATATCTCTAGCCCTACCGTGTTTAATATCATAGAAGATGAAGACACTTTTCTTTAAAAAGCAATCTAGTCAATCGTGCATCATAACAGTAATGAAAAACCTTTCCCTGAAAGATTACCGCATCTTTGGAACAAATACAAGAGGTCAACTTGTCTCATTAATGCTGGTTGTATAAGCTGTACATAAAATGATTATCTCTCTGTTAGTCAGAGCGAATCCCCCAAGTTTTTCTTTTTCTTTTCCTCCTTATCCATTAATTTCTAACCCTTCTGCCACAAGTATTTCTACAGGGCTGATAGTCTAACTCTTAGGAGGGAGTCTTAGCTGGGAAGGAAAGAAATGGCACGTGGACAAAGCAGGAAGGCCGCCGGGGAGTATTCTCTCTTGCTTTGTTTCAGGATGGGAGGCCAGAGCAATTGCGCTGAGGAAAAACACCGATTAAATGGCCGAAGTGATTAAGAGTAAATGCACTTTTCCCTCTGTTTGCTTTCGGACCACATGCAGCTTTGCTCAGGGCTTACTCCTGGCTCTCCACTCAAGAATGACTCCTCGTGGCGCTGTGGGGACTGAAGCCAGTACTCGCTGTACAATCGCTCTGGCCCATACAAGCACTCTTTTTTTTTTCTTTTTTAGGTTTTGGTTTTGGGGCCACACCCGGCAGTGTTCATAGCTTACTCCCGGCTCTGCACTCAGCAATTAGTCCTGGAAGGCTTGGGGGAAACTATGGGATGCCGGGGATCAAACCTGGGTCAGCCACGGGCAAGGCAAGCGCCCTCCCTATTGTACGGTCACTCTGGCACCGAGCACTTTTTAACAGTCGAAGAGGATGTCATTTTTATGCTTAGGCTTAAACTACACAATTCAGAGATTTGTAATTCATTTGGCATTGTGCAACTGGTACCATCACTTTTATCCCCAGGCCTCAGCGACCACACTCCCTCCCCTGACCCCCGCCCTCTGCCGTGCTACCCTGACAACCTCCAGTCTATTTTATCTCCATAGATTTGCCTATCTATGGAGACGCAGAAACAAAGTCAGACAATACAGGCTTCTGTGACGGGTTTCTTTCCCTTGGCACGTTTCCAAGTTTCCCTTCAAGTTGTAACATGTGATCAGTCTTCCATTCCGTTTTGTGGACATACCACGTTTTCTCTATTCCTCAGCTATGGGACACTTGGGGTTTTTTCCACTCTTGAACTGCTATGAATAATGCCTCAATGAAAAAAAAAAATCTATGTGATGAATGTTCTCATTTCTTTGGGGGAGGAGATCAAGGGGCAGAAATGCCGGGTCTTATGGTAATGCACGCCTCACAGTTTGAAAACGTTTTGCCAGACCGTTTTCCACATCTGCGGTACCGTCTGATATTCCATTACGTCATCCTAATGAGTGTGACACGTCTTCTCATGGTGCTTGTGATTTCTTTTCCCTGGTGACTGGTGAATGAATGATGTTGGGCGTCTTTTCCCGTGGGTTTACTGACCACACATGTATAAACAGAAATCACTATTTAAATACCTTGACAGTTTTTACAATCGTGCTGTCTTTCTAAGATTCAGTTATGAGCTCTTTCCACGTTCTCTATTTCCTGGCCCTGATGGGAACTGAGTCTGAGGGAAATGTTGGAATGCAAGGCCCAGAGTAGAGAGTGCATTACGTGACCCACTTCTGAATCCCCATCAAGAGCAAGGCCTGGTGGACGTCAGTGGGAGTTCGATGGATGGGTTTTTTTTTGTTTGTTTGTTTGTTATTTTTATTTTGGGGTCATTCCCGGCGATGCACAGAGGTTACTCCTGGCTCTGCACTCAGGACCATATGGGATGCTGGGAATCGAACCCGGGTCAGCCGTGTGCAAGGCAAACGCCCTGCCAGCTGTGCTATTGCTCCAGCCCCTCGACAAATGTTTGTGGGAAAGAAGGTAGGAAGGCAGCAGGGGAACATGCTAAGGGACAGAGGCACCCGGAAAGCTCCAGGGCAAGGGGAAGAGGAAGAGCAGGACTTCTGTGCCAAGAACCGGGGCGAGCTCGGGACATCCTGGCCACCTCAGAATCCTCGCCACACGGCTCAGGGCAGAGTCAGGCTCCAGGATGGGGCGAGGAAACTGAGGTGCAGAGGGACGAAAGGCGGCAGAAGGTTCCAGCTGCTGATGCAAACCCACTGCTCACTCAGCACCAGAAGCCCAGGACTGTCAGCAAAGCGTCCCTGGGCGGGGCTCACAGGCCCAGTTTCCCCATCTCAGTCCCAGTTCCCTCCCTTCTTAGAACATGCGCCTCACCGCACCCCAGGGCTCCAGGGGGGTGCAGTAGGGTCATTTCCCAGGGCCCCTAGTGGGGAGATCCTGCTGCAGCCCCGAGGGGAACCCCGGCTCGGTCCCCTGGAAGAGACCCTGGCTTGCCCAAAATGTGTTTCCTGGGTGCCATCCATCCATCAGCTCCGGGCAGGGATGGGACAGTTGCAGATCCATTTCCTGTGTCCCGGCCTGGGACACACTCAGGGAGAGAAGCAAGGGCCCAGGTCACCCGGCATCCTGTATGAGAGCGGTTCCCTTCTTGACAAGACAAAGGAACCAGAGGGCCCCCTGAACACAGCAAAGATTTTTACTCTGGGGGCTGGGGGGGGGAGGGAGGCGGAGAGGGTTGTAGGAATCATCTTACTTCTTTGCATTTTCCTCCTACTGTATTCTTTTTTCCTTCTGAAAAGGTTAGTTCGCTTCCCTTGGGCCTCATTCTTGCCAAGAGGTTTGTGAAAATAGCTCCTGTTGCTCCCTGAGGCCACAGTTATTTCCACAATAAATAATCGGAATCAATTCTACTGTAACGCAAAGGAAAGTTGGTGTGTTTGTGTGTGTGTGTGTGGGTAGGGTGGGGAGGGGGGGTGGTGGACATGCGCAAGGTAGGAAGATCTCAATCGGTCCCACTGCAAGTTTACATAACTGTACCGGATAGTGATGACAGCTAGGCGAAAGCGTAAGGGAAATACAGACCTAAAACAACAGACAGCACGTGAGTCTGCTTTAGAAGGTACCAGAAGGCCAGGGCAGCGGCTCAGCAGCCGGGCACAGGTCCTGCGTTTGCCAGGCACCGGGTTCCATATGCCCCCAAGCGCCACCTGGTGCAGATGTCACCAGCAGAAGAGATTTTCTCTAAGGATTCGGTTGTGACTGTGCCATATAAGGCCACTATGAAAATGGGGAATTCACAAAAGATTACCTCAAAACCATCCACTCTGGGGGCTGGAGCAATAGCACAGCGGGTGGGGCTTTTGCCCTGCGTGCGGCCGACCCGGGTTCGATTTCCAGCATCCCATATGGTCCCCCGAACACCACCATGAGTGATTCCTAAGTGCAGAGCCAGGAGTAACCCCTGAGCATCACTGGCTGTGACCCAAAAAGCAAAAAATAAATAAATAAATAAATCAAAAATCCACTCTCTGTGACCTACGTGTAAATCACATGACCATTTCCAAATCTGACAAGTTGCTGTTTTTTTTTTCTTGTGTAGCGAATTGGCAGCAAACACACATAGACTATTAAATAATCATGGATATGAGGCCTACTGGGAGTTTCAGGAGAAAGGTGTGGTCACGCGCGGGACGCGAGCCTTCGGTGGCCGAGAACCATTCCCCTGGCCAGCCCATGGATGGAGGACTAGGGAACAGAAACAGGGCCCCAGGCTGGTCGGCACTCAGTTTATTTCTCGCTCTTCCCAGCGTAGTCTGATCTCTCCCTTACAGCACAATCGTAGTTGTAGTTTTGGTCGTCATCCCAGTCATCACAGTTCCCTCCTCCTAGTCTTCACAGTCCTTATCTCTGCAGTCCTCCCAGCCCCCTCACAGTCCTCATCTTCTAGTGCTCATCCCCTCTCTCCCCTTACAGCACAGTTACATAGAAACCATGAAGGGTGGGGTACATATAGGTAGGGTTGAACTTTGTCACAACAACAAACAGAGGTAAAGCCACTCCTTCAGGGGAAGTTCTCGGGGATTACCTCAAGGACAAAATCTCATCTGAGGGTTCACACTCCAGATTACTAGGAGATCCACTCAAGGGCGGGACTCCATCCAGGGTGTATTGCTTTCTCCTTTCCTCAGCTAGTAATTAGTTCATTTAACCAATCACAGTAAATTTACTTCTTACTAAT